CGACCAATGTTAGTTATGTTACGATCAATAGTGAGGTGTAAGAAAGAGTACCTACTGGGACTGTGCCTGACATTCCATTTGCAGTAATATCTGAAACGTATTGCCTGCGAACTGGCCACTGTTATTAATTTAAATGCACTTTCTATTCTTATATGCAAAATTACTAGCTGTTCCCGTGACTTCGTCCGGGTGGAATTTAGCTTTATTTTTCTAAAATGAAAGCAGCCTAAGATACTCGTTATTACATCAGCTACTTGCCAAAAAAAGTCCCGTTTAAATAGGTCCAGCCATTTCAGAGATTATCCGGAACAAACAGGCAGGTAGACAAAAATTATAAAAAAATGTTATTTTGGTGTCTGTACCACCATATTTATATTCATATACAAATTGTAAAAAACGGTTATTTCAATATTACAAACAGACACTACAATTTTATTTATAAGTGTAGATAATAAAACGTGAGGATTCCGTGATTTTTCCCAATTTTTATTCCTGGTAAAATAACACAACGCCATCTAGTCCTATGATAAGCAGAGCTTGTGTTATGAGTACTAGACAACTAACATAAATACATAAATATATTTTTGTTTTTGTAAATGCTTTTTTTTTCGGACTTCTCTAATGCTGTTGGCCGCAGCTGGCCTTTACAGCTTCACCGGACGTTATGGGGCGAGTGCAGATGGCACTCCAAACCCGTGGAAGGACTTATGGAGCGGCTGAAGGCCAACTCCCGCCTAACGGATACGACTTTAGTCTGAGGGCACCACTAGGGGTACGAACCTCAGCTCAGGCCGTCGTAACATCGATCCCCGTTGAATTGGACGGGGGATCGATCGGAGAGGCGAGTTGCGATTTGTAAATGCATTCATAATATACATAGAACACCCAGACCGACACAAACAATCATACTCACGAATACAAATGTTTTATAAAAATGATAAATTAGTTAAAGATAACTACAATTAATCAATAATTAAAATTATAATATGTATAGCAATAAATCGGCGTCGTATAGCGACAGGTATGGCCAGAATTCCGGCTATACATTCGCTGTCTCCCTCCCGCCGACCATAAATAGGACATGGTTAATTAAAACGGTACATTAGCATAAACAAATAAAATGCCCCATTACGAATTCAATTTACAATCTTTGAAATCGGTTAAATTAGTCGCCGTAAATAATACCCGGGATACAGATTCGATAATAGCGTTATGGCGCAATTTATAAGCGTAGCGGGTGTGAATTGCACCTCAGTGGTGCAGAGGTTTGACATACTAGCGCATACTCTAACGAACGTGGATTCGATCCCGACTTTAGATAAAGCGAATTCTATAAGCATGCCGATTTGTTCTATTTGGCTATATATATAAGTTAAGATGTCTGATTGGTCTAGCACACCGCTTTACGTCCGATGATCGCGGGTTCGATTCCTCGCACGACACAAACATTTGTATTCATGAGTATAATTGTTTGTATCGGTCTGGGTGTTTTCTATGTATAATATGTATGTATTTACAAAAAATATATCTATGTATTTGTATCAGTTATCTAGTACCCATAACACAAGCTTTAGCTAGCTTAACTCGGGTCTAGATGGCGCTGTGTGAACTGTCCTGAGATTGTTATTATTATGTCTGTTAATCATCTAGTCCCTATAGTAGAAGCTCTGCTTAGTTTGGCACTAGATGGTGCTAGTGTATAAGGTTATTTATTTATTATTATATATTATTTTCTAAATAAGATATAAATGTAAAATAGACTCTATTATTATGTCCATTAAATCTAATTTCGATAATAACAAAATGGGTTATCCCATTTTGTCCCACAAAATGAAGGCGCTTCCGATGTCAGCTCACGTATTTTTTGGATTTCACGCAACGGATTTTAATGCAGTTTTTAGCAAAAGATAGAGCCATTCAAGAGGAAGTATAATATATGTACATCCGTGTGAAACCGGGAGGGGTAGCTAGTAGAATAGAATAGAATAGAATAGAAAATTATTTATTCAAATAAACTTACATTGAAGCACTTTTGAATAGTCATAAAATTTTTTTTTTAATCTACCGCTCATTCGGAAAGCTATATCACAAGAAGAACAAGCAAGAAACTTGTGTGTTGCTCTTTTATAGTATAATTGTTTATTCTGTGTTGTTAGTTTAAAATCTTTCATTCACCTTTTCCCCCCATAATGTTAATTTTATTAAACGTTTTTATTTTTTGTAAACAGGAATAACCGTATTTTTCACCTTCTCCGTGATTATATCTACATTTCATAAGTATTTATTTAAGTATTTTAAGTACATTTATTTATTTATTATTAATATCACAAAAGATAGTAGAATAAAACAATATCCTTCAAAAATGCTTTCAATTTAGTATTATTCCATTGAAGATTGAATGCGTACCTAGTTTCTATATTAATTGTCTCATGCCTAATCCTTGTTAGTGTGTATTTACTTAGAACAATAATTACTTAAAAGAGCCACAAGCAAGTTTCTTGATCATTCTTCCCGTGTAAAAAATATGACTATTCATAAGCACTTATAAGTTTATTTGAATAAAGATTGTTTCTATTAAATGATATATTTAGTTCTTTATCCAGGACGTCAGGAATCTGGTATGAAGATGCACACATACCCGTGGTATCGAAACCGAATACTTATCTCACGACTACTGGAAAAATAAAAAAAATTCCTGACGTACACGTCATAATTTATTTTTTTAACGAGAGTAAAGAAGACGGGATACATTTCTATCCTGGCAGGATAAAAATCAGTGCGCGGTCGTTGGGTTCGAGTCCCCGCGCGGACAGTGACGCGCGGCGGGGTGCCGGCAGACCCACACCGGGGCTAGGGACGTGCTGATTGCACGGACGAGAAAACATCGATATCGATTAAACTATTGACCAATTTTTTTAATTACTAATGGTCTAACAATTTGAATTTATTCTTAAATTATTACTGTAATATGTGACGAATATATTTGCCGTATGTATGGATTTAATATCTCGTATATTTTTATATGATTATCATATTTGTAAATATCTAAATTAATTTATATAAAACTTAGAGATGAAAGACAATTTATTAAATAATAACAACTCTCTTCGTTTTACCCTTATCATTATTCTTTTAGAGCCTATAATAATACGGTAAAATCAAATAAGTTGTAATTTAGTTTATTTATTATATTTTTAAACATTTAATATCAATGTCCCAATCTGAGCAATTATTATGTTCGATATTGTTTATAGAAAATGCTTTATTTATTTATTTGTTTATTTATTTATGTTGTGATCGAAATGCTAATTTAAAATACTGTTATCGATTAATAATCCTATTGCTAGAAACCTGATTAGAGGTCAGTCTGTTAGTCACCATGGCCTGACGCATTGGCACCATGTCAGATTGGCTTCCCTGGAAACTATCGTGATGGAACGATGGGCTGACTGAACTGATCTCATACTCATCTTATTATCCTCTACTAGTGCCCCGCTAGCACGTACCGCCAGCTTAGGGGAGTGTACCATTTCATTATTATGAATTAAAAAAATGTGCTGATAAATCTATCGATAAACAAGTTGGATAACACTAGTGTGGCGCCTCGTGGGCCACAGCGCCGCGGGGCCGCATTGTTCGAGCATCTAAGTGCCTCATATTCGGTTACCCGCCTATATTACACGCCTATACACAATATCGATAACCCACGCGCTCTACGATTAAGAACATCCCTAAACCTACATTCACACAATTAATTTTAAACCTCAATCTTCATAATAATAAAGTACATTTTTGTGTATCAATGTAATGGGTCTTTATCGTCATATGGTTTATAGGAAAAATGAAATAATTTTAATTTTACTACTCTTTGAACGAACGAGGACCTTAATAAATTACTGAACAATACTCGAACGTCGCACCTTATTTGAGAGCCGTTTTGTCATGCCATTGTCTCTTCTATAAATACAATTTTTTTTATTATATCTCAAATAAAAACTTAATTTATAAAGCCTCATAAACTGGTATTTTTATATATGTCTTTTATTAATGAGCAGTCAAATTATGGTGTTTATATTTCTAATTGGTGATATTTGAGCTATACAGTTATGAATTATTTCGTTATTATGTATATTTGAGAGATATAATATTGGTGTTCGCTTATAAGACTTTTATAAGCACTGATGGTAAGTGATTACCGCCGCCCATGAGTACCCGCAACACCAAGGGAGTTGCAAGTGCGTTGCCGGCCTTTTAAGAAGGAATAAGCTCTTTTCTTGAAGGTTTTAATATCGTCATCATTGCTCTGCCTTTTTCCCATTATTTGGGGTCGGCACAGTATGTCATTCTCTTCCACTGCTCTCTATCGGTCGTCATATCTGAGCATACTCTTCTTTTATTCATACCATCTTTATCTTTCGGAAATACCTGTGCCGGAAGGTGATTCCACAATGTGGTTGTGCATGGCAAAAAGTTTCTAGAAAACCGCACTGTGGAGGACCGCCATTCATACAGATGGTCATTATATTTTAGTTTCTGACAGGTAGTGCGATTGTGAAATTCAGCAGTGGGTAATAATCTCAACGTTTCCTCTTCTTCTCCGTTATAAAAATAGGACATAAACCGAACTTAATGCTAAATATTCTCCACCAGTTAACCTTTGGAGTGAGGGTAGAAAGGGATTGTTAGTAATGTGAACTGACAATAGGGTCATTGTTAGCAATGTACTGTGCTAGGTTGACCTACACACGGTTTCCCCTGGAAACCATCGTGATAAATTCCTGGTGAATTTACCAGGATGGGCTAACTGACCTGAACTCATGCTCATTAAATACTCAAATAGAAAAAATATTGAATATATAACCTACTGGTTAAACAATTAATAACAGGAAATAAGTCATAGTGATTAGAGCAGACCAGTTCCTACAAGCAGTACCCGTTCACGAGTATGATGGATGAGCCGGTAAATCACGGTTACAATTAATTAAGTACTGATTACTTACCTCAGTATCTATCTTCTTGTACTCAGGATCTTCTTCGTCTACCTCGAAGTATAGTTCTGTGGAGGTGAGGGAGACAGTTCCGGGCGCCACCAGGCCGGGGGCTACCAGTCGGGCCTTCGTACTGATGTTTACTGGGCCTGTGGATAATATACACATAGTTGAGATCTTAGAGATCAGATTTTCACTCTTTGTAACGATACTCCTCCGAAACGGCCTGACCGATCGATACCAGAATTTCATCGAAAGTCGACCTTCGGGCCTCATAGAGAGCGCAGAGTAATTGTTCTAGTTAGAGTAGTTATTATTATAATTTGCAGTAATTTTATGTGAACAGCAAATAAGATGCAAATATATTATTTATCCCATTTATCTATATTCTATAGTAATATCCTCGCGTAGGATACCTTAGTAAACGGTTAGTGAGTTAGTAATCCAATATAATTAGCGCCTGCCAAATTATATTGAGCAATGCAGTAAATTAAAAACTCTGTGAATATATTATTGCAGGGGCATAAATGTGGCGCTGAAGACACATTACGTTACTCATTCGTTGCTTGCATATTGTATTATGTTAACTGAACAATGTGGTTTTTAATATTTACTTTTTTTTTTAAATTACTTTAAATACCTAGTTAAGTTTATTTATCTATTTATCTTAAGTGAAATTACTATTATTATATTTATAATATCTCGGTAGAAGCATTATTTATAAGTAGAGTTAGTAAAAATCACGGGATTATACCAATTTTTTTAATTTTCAGTATATTTCAGTATATGCAGTTGAAACACCGCCGAAATATCGGGAACTCAATAAAAAAAAATAGAACGTGGTGAGATCCCATGATTCTTCCCTAATTAAACGTATAAATAATGACCGCGTCAAGTTTAAAACAGTATAGAAGCATTATTATAAAAACGGCAGTATAAATTCGTTACAAAATTTCTCTTATCAATTACATTGCATTACAATTATAAAAACTCACCAAGATTCGTTTCAAGATTTCTCATTTTATTTATATAAACAACTAGCCGTACACGCGACTTTGTCCGCGTGGTATTTAACTTTATTTTTCTAAAATAAGTAGCCTCAGTTACTCCTTATTACATCAGCTACCTGCCAATAAAAATCCCGTCAAAATCGGTGCAGCCATTTCAGAGATTAGCCGGAACAAACAGACAGACAGACAAAAATTGTATAAAATGTTATTTTGGTACCCTACCCCTACCCATAATGTGGCTCACTGTAATCTATACATCTGTACAAATAAATAAAATTGGAGTGTTTGTAATATTGAAATAATCGTTTTTTACTACATGTATATGAATATAAATGTGGTGTAGTACCACATTTATATTAGGTAGATAGTGTATACTGACCAGTGAGGTCTGCGTCGATCTCTCGGTCGTCGAGCAGCAGCTCTGCGTCGTCCAGGAGGTCGGCGTGCGCGGCCAGCGGCGCCCCCCGCCCGCCCGCGCCCAGCCGGGCGTGCAGCTCCTCCGTCGCCTGGAGGAAACCAGCTACTCGTTACGTGCACAACTAACCCAGGGTCATCTACTAAGGTTATCAGGGACATTGTCGACTATATCCGGGCAATAAGTAACATTGAGGGTGACGTTGGAATCGAATGGGTGTGGATCTGGATAGGTCCCCACCTGGGAAAGTATATCTTCCTTTCTTCCGTTGTAAAAATAAAAAAAATACACAAGACAGTTGAACGTTCAATAAAAGTCGTTTATTAAATTTAATGCGTTCGTGATCCGAGTCCTCACCGACGTGATGTCTATCTTCATGAATGAAGACTACCGGAGGGATCGGCGCGGGCGGCAGGTCCCGCACCAGCGCGGGGCGTCCTGCGGGGGGCCGTACCTGCAGGATGGCGTCGAGCGGCGCGGGCGGCGCGGGCGGCAGGTCCCGCACCAGCGCGGGGCGTCCTGCGGGGGGCCGTACCTGCAGGATGGCGTCGAGCGGCGCGGGCGGCGCGGGCGGCAGGTCCCGCACCAGCGCGGGGCGTCCTGCGGGGGGCCGTACCTGCAGGATGGCGTCGAGCGGCGCGGGCGGCGCGGGCGGCAGGTCCCGCACCAGCGCGGGGCGTCCTGCGGGGGGCCGTACCTGCAGGATGGCGTCGAGCGGCGCGGTCGGCGCGGGCGGCAGGTCCCGCACCAGCGCGGGGCGTCCTGCGGGGGGCCGTACCTGCAGGATGGCGTCGAGCGGCGCGGGCGGCGCGGGCGGCAGGTCCCGCACCAGCGCGGGGCGTCCTGCGGGGGGCCGTACCTGCAGGATGGCGTCGAGCGGCGCGGTCGGCGCGGGCGGCAGGTCCCGCACCAGCGCGGGGCGTCCTGCGGGGGGCCGTACCTGCAGGATGGCGTCGAGCGGCGCGGGCGGCGCGGGCGGCAGGTCCCGCACCAGCGCGGGGCGTCCTGCGGGGGGCCGTACCTGCAGGATGGCGTCGAGCGGCGCGGGCGGCGCGGGCGGCAGGTCCCGCACCAGCGCGGGGCGTCCTGCGGGGGGCCGTACCTGCAGGATGGCGTCGAGCGGCGCGGGCGGCGCGGGCGGCAGGTCCCGCACCAGCGCGGGGCGTCCTGCGGGGGGCCGTACCTGCAGGATGGCGTCGAGCGGCGCGGGCGGCGCGGGCGGCAGGTCCCGCACCAGCGCGGGGCGTCCTGCGGGGGGCCGTACCTGCAGGATGGCGTCGAGCGGCGCGGGCGGCGCGGGCGGCAGGTCCCGCACCAGCGCGGGGCGTCCTGCGGGGGGCCGTACCTGCAGGATGGCGTCGAGCGGCGCGGGCGGCGCGGGCGGCAGGTCCCGCACCAGCGCGGGGCGTCCTGCGGGGGGCCGTACCTGCAGGATGGCGTCGAGCGGCGCGGGCGGCGCGGGCGGCAGGTCCCGCACCAGCGCGGCGGCGGCGTGCCGCGAGCCGCGCGCGTCTGCGACGAGCCGCCGCCGCCGCCGCGCGTCGTCCTCCCACGAGTCCAGCTTCCAGAATTGCGTGCCGCACGACCTGCGACCCAGTGAAGTTACTCAGTATATGAATCAATAAAATCTTACTAAGTGTTTATAAAATAGTGTTACGTTTACGTGATATAACCAAATTTCATTAAAATTAAAGTTCATAAGAAGACGTTCAGTGAAGTGCGGTGTTCATAAAGAGATGTTCGAGCGGTGTACAACGGTATGTTCTTAAGGAGACATACGTTGTAGTACGACGTATTCATAAAAAAACGGTTTGGTGTAGTGCGGTGTGTTCATAAGGAGACGTTCAGTGTAGTGCGGTGTGTCCATAAGACGTTCAGTGTAGTGCGGTGTGTTCATAAGACGTTCAGTGTAGTGCGGTGTGTTCATAAGACGTTCAGTGTAGTGCGGTGTGTCCATAAGACGTTCAGTGTAGTGCGGTGTGTTCATAAGACGTCGGTGTAGTGCGGTGTGGTGTAGTGTGGTGTGTTCATAGAGAGATGTTCGAGCGGTGTACAACGGTATGTTCTTAAGGAGACATACGTTGTAGTACGACGTATTCATAAAAAAACGGTTTGGTGTAGTGCGGTGTGTTCATAAGGAGACGTTCAGTGTAGTGCGGTGTGTCCATAAGACGTTCAGTGTAGTGCGGTGTGTTCATAAGACGTTCAGTGTAGTGCGGTGTGTTCATAAGACGTTCAGTGTAGTGCGGTGTGTCCATAAGACGTTCAGTGTAGTGCGGTGTGTTCATAAGACATTCAGTGTAGTGCGGTGTGTCCATAAGACGTTCAGTGTAGTGCGGTGTGTTCATAAGACATTCAGTGTAGTGCGGTGTGTTCATAAGACGTTCAGTGTAGTGCGGTGTGTTCATAAGACGTCGGTGTAGTGCGGTGTGGTGTAGTGTGGTGTGTTCATAGAGAGATGTTCGAGCGGTGTACAACGGTATGTTCTTAAGGAGACATACGTTGTAGTACGACGTATTCATAAAAAAACGGTTTGGTGTAGTGCGGTGTGTTCATAAGGAGACGTTCAGTGTAGTGTGGTGTGTTCATTATGAACTGTTCGGTGTAGTACAACGTGTTCATAAGGAGACGCTTGGTATAGTGCGGTGTGTTCATAAGGAGACGTTCGAGTGGTGTAGTCTGGTATAGTGAATGTGTTCATAAGAAGACGTTCGGTGTAGTGCGGTGTGTTCATAAGGAGACGGTCGGTGTAGTGTGTGTGTTCATAAAGAGACGTCCGAGCGGTGTACTACGGTGCGTTCATAAGACTTTCGAGAGGTGTGTTCCTGTATGTGATAAGGAGACCGTAGGTTCATAAGGGCACGTACCCGGCGGGGTGTGCGGCGGCGGCGTGTCGCAGCTTGTCGAGCAGCCTTGCGGCGGCGGCGGCGTCGCGGCGTCGCGCGGCTGCAATTAATCGCTCGCACGTGCGTTCCTCCTCCGCTCGCTCCGCGCCCGCAGCCGCGCATACGCACTGCACATATTGTTTACGGATGACAATAAAATTGATGTCTACTCTAGCTAATTACGAGGTATGGGACACAGTTACCTAGATACATCAATATGATAATTGCATTGTGATGTCTACTCTAGCTAATTACGAGGTATGGAACACAGTTACATCAATATGATAATTGCATTGAATTTATCCTAATAGCCCTTATATAATAATTATATTTAACAATGGCTAGTAAGACAAATTAAATGCAGTTATAATATTGATCTAGGTAACTGTGCCATCTAGGCATTGGAAAGCAACGGTCAGTCGGAGGTAAAAAGTTTTTTTTAACACAAGTTATTCTAATCAGGAAACAGATATTAACTATATACTATGGATCTAGTAAGTACTAAATATGTCATTTGTTTGCATTACAGACAAATATATATATAAACAATCAAGCCACAGTGACATTAGTAGGCTGGGCTGTAATATACCTTTTTTCAATAGTCATGCAAATAATTACTAAATATAACAAAATTATTTAATATTCAAAATTCAATATTTTTATTAACATAATTACAATTATTATAACTTTATTTTTATTTCTAATATTTATAATTGAAATAATTCATCCAATAGTACATCCAAAGAGTAAAAACAGTGCGTTATTTTATTTAAAAATGATATCCTGTTCACTCTATCAAATCTGTGGGTAGACTGTTAAATATTTTGTATGTCATGTAATATATATATATATATATATTTAAATAGAGTTAAATTACTTTTGGACAATACTAACTTATTCTGTCTAGAGGTATAATATTCGATTAAGATTAAAAAAAAACTATATTCTCATATAAAGTCTTCTTAGATTACAAACATTGATATTAATTTTTATATTGGACGCCCTTACCTCGAAATCGGCGTGTTTAAGCACATCATCAGCTCTCATCCTGTTCAGAATGAACTCAGCTTCGTTGGCGACCCTCACTATATGATCTCTCATGGCGTGAGATAGCAGTCTACCTTCGTTGATCAACTCTATAAACGCAAGTCCCGCGTGCTTTTGTAATGAGTTTTGCCACTCTTGGGAGCACAACAGCATCACTAACTCTACTACTGAAGTGCTGGATTTGAACGTTTGGAGACCTGGAAAATATTAGATGTTTTTTTAATAAATACCAAGTTTATAGAAGTAATAGTATTTTCTATATTTAACTGGAATTCAATAGAGAATGTAGAAAAAGAAAGTAAATTGAATAGGAATACGGAAAATATAAAATTTAAGCATATATAGGTCACTAGCTACTCGCCCCGGCTTCGCACTACTGTACATGTGTTATATATATAAACCTTCGTCTAGAATTACTCTATCTATTAAAAAAAGAGCTTCAAAATACATTGCGTAGCTTTAAAGATTTAAGCATAAATAGGGACGGACAGACAGCGACAGCGACTTTGTTTTATACTAAGTAATGATGAAAACTCAAGTATAACTACATATAGTCCGCCGTATGCACTTTTACTATGATATTTTGTGCATTGAAGATGTATATACAAATAAATAAATAAATATACGTCTCTAGCACAATTTTAAATATTTCTAATTTAGTACTTTAATACTTAGATACTCCCAAATGATTAATCATCTACCATTCCAGAAAAATGTGAAATTGAAAGTAAAAAAGCATAGATAGAAATATTGATTATCTTAAATAACTATATTAGTAAACTAAATTTTAAAACATGAATTAGTAAATCATATTTTAAAACTAGCTTTTGCCCGCGCTTTTGCTCGCGTTTGTTTATCCCCTTAGGGGTGGAATTTATCAAAATCCTTTCTTACCATGCACAAACCACTGAACGGATCGGGCTAAAATTTTGGCATGCAGGTAGATGTTATGACGTAGGCATCCGCTAAGAAAGGATTTTGATTAATTCTACCCCCAAAGGGATAAAATAGGGGATGAAAGTTTGTATGAAACTTTGTCAATTTCTAACCGATCGGGCTGAAACTTTGCATGCATAAAGCTACTATGACGTAGGCATCCCCTAAGAATGGATTTTGATAAATTCCACCCCTAAGGGGATAAATTAACACGAGCGAAACCGCGGGCAAAAGCAAGTTTAGCATATAAGTAATTTATTGTATTATATACGGCCCTGTATGCGTTTTAGTACACAGTCATAATTTTAAATCATTATAGTTTTTAATAATAAAGAAATAAATAAAAAACTGCAGCCTCAAGAAACCGTCAAACTACCATGCCTAGTACCCAGTATACCTTTACCCTCCATGAGTAGCTCCTGTCCGTGGCTGCCGACAAGGGTCTTGGATAGGAACGGTGCGAAGTCCAGCATGATCTCACGCAGCAGCGGACACACGGGTCCTAGAGCCGTCTCTAGTTTATTCGTGAGGGAAGCCTCCCGGGAGACGCCTTCCGCGCACATTGCAGAGTTCATAGCGTTCAGTCCTGCTAGCGTATCGTTGTCCTAATGAAGATCAAGATTGATTAACTAGCTGTACGCGCGACTTCGTCCGCGTGGAATTTAAATTTATTTTTCTAAAATAAAAGTAGCTTAAGTTACTCCTTAGTACATCAGCTAATTGCCAATAAAGGTCCCGTCAAAATCGGTCCAGCTATTTCAGAGATTAGCCGGAACAAACAGACAGACAGACAAAAATTAAAAAAAATGGTATTTTGGTGTATGCACCGTTATTATATTCATATGCATGTAGTAAAAAACGGTTATTTTAATATTATAAACAGACGCTTCAATTTTATTTATATGTATAGATATATAGATAACGTAAATCCGGTTACGTTAGTGGTACTGATTAGTTCACGTTACATTCGAAACTTAATACACAATACAGTAAAATAGTAAGGTTTATTTACGTGCCGTATTATTACAATTAAACTTTGATTATATATATATTTTTAAGTTTATTATTCCTTTTTTTTTAAATAAACCTGGACAAGCTACACAGCTGCCTTATAGTCCCAAGCTTATTTATTTTGTTAAAAAGTTTATTTTTCATTTTTTTTAAATTTAGACAATCCACATGTTCTAGTCTAAACGCAAAGTTTGTGTTACGGATACTATTTACTAAGTATATGTTTTTTGTAAATACATACATATATACCTAATACATCGAACCCGCGACTATCGGAATTAAGTCGAAAAAAAATATTTTTTATTTTTTCGACAACTTTTTTTATTATGTGACATACATACTAATAACCCAAAATTTTCACCCTTCTATCAACAACCCCTACTTTTTAATAGCGATATTAATTTATATTGCAAAACAACGTTTGCTGGGTCATCTAGTAAAGTATATAAAATTAAACTTCATCATATCGTTACCGGATGTAAGTGTCTCTGTGCAGCTTGCAGATTCCTGTTCTGCCGCTGCTGCAGGTGGTGATGAGACTCCGAGTTGCGCATGTGTATCTGTTTGTCTACATCTGTAAGTAAAAACATATACATATATTTAATACCATCTACCCGCCCCGGCTTCACACGAGTGTACATCTATATCTATACTAATATTACAAAGCTGAAGAGAGTTTGTTTGTTTGAACGCGCTAATCTCAGGAACTATTAGTTCGAATTGAAAAATTATTTTTGTGTTGGATAGTATATTTCTAGAGGAAGGCGTTAAGCTATATAACATTACGCTACGACCAATAGAAGCGAAGCATCAGGGAATATATTGCAAAAACAGGAAAAATTATTCACATTTGAGATTCCGTTGCGCTGCGTAAAGGGTTCAAGTTACCCAAAAAATATGTATGAAAGAATTATTCCTCTTTAAATGATCTGCGACAGTGTTTTTGATAACCACGTGAACGATATCGCGGGCACAGCTAGTATATTATATATATAAACCTCCCTCTTGAATCACTCTCTATAATGCAATTTATAATGAAGGAGTTATGAAGTACCTCTTCCTTTTGAGGACTCAGTTAAAAAGCACTATAAATAGAAATACTTAATTAATTCTAAAAAGTCATAATCTGCTTTTTCTTTATCCCATTTATTTGTGGTCCGCATAATATGTTTATCTCTTCCATTCATCTCTGTTCGCAGTTATACCGTTATTTACTTCCTTTCTTACCATATCATCTCTCACACAGTCCATCCATACACAATTTTTCAGTTCATTATCTAGCAAACACCTTTTTTTTTAACGTGTGGAAATTTTTCAGGGCGGGGCGGTGTGTCATTATCTAGCAAACACCAGGGGATTCGCAAGTGCATTTTTTTTTTTTAACGTGTTGAAAATCTTGGAAACGCCACCTCCGGGGCATCTAGCAAACACTTTTTTTTTTAACGTGTGGAAAATCTTCAAAAGACCGTCACCCCGCCGGAGGGAGGGCGGGGCGGTGTGTGAGACTTGTACTCACCAAAAACCACACGGTATACCTACGAGCGCCTATGTCGGAGCCAGGGGATTCGCAAGTGCATTTCTACCCCAGCTCCGACGGCGATGGCCCGCCCTGTAGATGTTGTAGGGCAGGCCCCATCTCGTATGTGGTAAGGGCGACCTATTTCGCCCTACTCCATTGTGGAGGCGTGTGGTACACGCGCACACCTCCGGGGCATCTAGCAAACACCTTTTTTTTTAACGTGTGGAAAATCTTCAAAAGACCGTCACCCCGCCGGAGGGAGAGCGGGGCGGTGTGTGAGTGTATACCTACGAGCGCATATGTCGGAGCCAGGGGATTCGCAAGTGCATTTCTACCCCAGCTCCGACGGCGATGGCCCGCCCTGTAGATGTTGTAGGGCAGGCCCCACGTATATGGTTATACTCCATTGTGGAGGCGTGTGGTACACGCGCACACCTCCGGGGCATCTAGCAAACACTTATTGCAACCCCATTCCGTTTTCCATCCCTTCCTATGTAGTAAAACTTATATCCTCCCCCAATAATAGAATAGAATAGAATAGAATAGAAAATCATTTATTCAAATAAACTTAATTTAAGCACTTTTGAATAGTCATAACAATTTGTTTTTTATCTACCACTCGTTCGGAAAGCTGTCTCATCACAAGAAGAACGAGCAAGAAACTTGTGTGTTGCTCTTTTAAATAATCCTTGTAAGTTTACATTTACAAGTCGAAACGTGTGAATACAAACTACCAACAAGCACAAATTTTTGGGTCAAATATAAATATGCAATAAGATTAAATCAGTCGTAGTGATAAGATAATAATAATAATTCTAAAAGTATACAATGTATAGTTTTAACCAACCTTCATGTATATTTCCCTCGTGGTCCCTGGTCCTCCCCGTTATGGTTGCGGGGCCCCGTTCTCCGTCTTCATTCAGATTCACGTCTGTCCACGACTCATCGTTACTCACCTGCAATTAACAATATACTATCATTATCTATACATATAAATAAAATTGGAGTGCCTGTTTGTAATATTGAAATAACAGTTTTTTACTACATGCATATGAATATAAATAGGGTACATACACTAGAAAAACATTTTTTACAATTTCTGTCTGTCTGTCTGTCTATCTGTTTGGCTGAACCGATTTTGACGGGATTTTTTTTGGCAGGTAGCTGATGTAATAAGGAGTAACTTAGGCTACTTTTATTTTAGAAAAATAAAGTTAAATTCCACGCGGACGAAGTCGCGGGAACAGCTATTATTAAATATATTTAAAATGCCTTATTACATACGTAATTAAGATTTTTTATATAGCATAGGAGACGGACAAGGTTGTGGGAAACCAGAGAATTGCGCGTGAATTGCTGGCTTATTAAGTTATATGGTTTTCGCTTAAATAGAATAGAATAGAATAGAAAATCATTTATTCAAATAAACTTACATTGAAGCACTTTTGAATAGTCATTACATTTTTTAATCTACCGCTCGTTCGGAAAGCTGTCTCATCACAAGAAGAACGAGCAAGAAACTTGCGTGTTGCTCTTTTAAATAATTTTATTATTACTTTACATTTTTAAGTTTAAGTGTGTGAATACAAACCACCAATTAGCACTAATTCAATTAAATACTCAAATAGAAAAAATATTGAATATATAACCAACTGGTTAAACAATTAATAAGAGGAAATCAGTCATAGTGATTAGAGCAGACCAGTCCCTACAAGCAGCACCCGTTCACGAGTATGACGAGGAGAGATGAGCCAGCCATCACTGCGCTCGACCATATTTTAGGGAGCCCAATGACCCGGCCCACCACGCCGCCACAAGTCTGGACATTTTAGTGAGCATGACTACTTAAAACACTAGACCACGTCAAAGCTACTTAAAAGTTTCAATATGTAGGCCCGGAAATATCACTGCTGCGAGTTGCTTCAACAATACGGTTATCCATAATTTACATCGTCAGTTATTGGTAAGTTATATGTAGGTGTATTTCTCATCAGCAGACTGAATCAACCAGTTTCCAGGCTCGTGCAATTTTGATGTCGAGACATTTATGATGTACTGGGGTAACAAATGAACTAAGTTATTGTCTATTTCATAATTTTTCTGAACTCATCATTTTCAGCGCCTTACAAGTGGGGGCCTCAAGGCAAAGTTTCGATTCCGGGGGCGCCTACCCCCCCGATCTCTGGATTGGCACCCTTTCCTTCCTCCACAACTTAAAGGTAAGGTAAGCTTACGTACTACAACTGTATTTGGAGGTTGTGTGTCTTTTTTTGTGTAATAGTCAATATAAAAAAAATGGCGTTCAAAATTAAGCTCAAAAATAATTTATCCATGTAGACCAAAGGCTGTCTGGAAAAAATCCGTCATTTGTCTGCCATTGTATAATTTTTTTAGGATCATTGTTGTCTGCTATTTTAAATGTTTTTACTTATCATCCACTGGTGCCCCGCCAGCGTAAACCGTTAGCGCAGGCGGGTGCACCATTCCATTATCATCCGTATGAAAAAAATGTTTTTACCGTACAATAATAAACTGTTACAAACAATTTCAATAAAGCAAGTAAATTTTTTATGTTAATATTTTTTCTGCTTTAAAGCAATACTAACCGGATGCTTATTATCGTCCAGCGCAATCTCGCTTGACGTTTCAGGATCATTGTTGGTGGTCTCCGTCGAGTTGAGGTGGAAGGAGCCGGCATCCTCGATCGAGTCCACACTCTATGAACAGGCGAAGAGAGTTCAATATTGAATGGTACACCCATGTGACTTGTGGTGTTACATACTGCAGGTGCATAATTTACATTCAGTGTACTTATGTTAATTGTAACTAATGCATGTACTAATTAACAAACACTTTCTTCTAATGAAATGTGATATGAGCCTATTAACTTAACGGAGTAACTTAACTTAACGTAAGTTGGAACCTGGTTTTCATTTTTTTTATAGTCTTCCAGCTATTTCTCTTTAGGACTTCAAACTAACATATTTTTCTCTTTTTTTACTTCCTAACTGCCATCAGTCTTATGGCTGTAATCAGATTTGTTATTGTTTAATTCCATAACTAATATATATGAAACGTAAGTCTTATGATGCATTCATTTTTTTTCTTTTACTTTCTATCTGCCATCAGTCTTATGGCTATAATCAGATTTATTATTATTTAATTCCATAACTAACATATATAAAACGTAATCCTTATGATGCATTTATTTCATATTTTTTTTCTTCTGTTTTCTTCCTACCTACCATCAGCCTTATGGCTAATAATCAGATTTGGTATTATTTAATTCCATAACTGACTAACATATATGAAACGTAATTTTTTGGTGCATATTTTTCTGTCTGTCTATTACAGTAATATATTTCATTAACTACTAATGCTATTTACCTAATATTATTTTAAAAACTATTAGTTCTATCATAATGGATAAAAAATTAAAAAATATGTATTAATTTCTAGCAAGTCCAAAATGAAGACTTGTAAAATTTCCAGCAAGTGTAGAATAGTATAAATATATATATAAACATGAAGTTACTAATTATTTATCATGTGTCATGTAACAGATAATTTTTTTTATACTGTTACAGTGGCAAACAAGCGTACGGCCGGTCTGATGGTAAATGGGTACCGTAGCCTATGGACGCCAGATATTTCGTATTACAGACGTATTAAAACTTTCTATTAATAATATGTAGTATATATTCAATATACTTCTATAAAAGTAAATTTATCACTATACCATATTGCTGTACTTTATAAAAAAAATACTAAAAATAAATGTCCTTACCTGCATTACAAATAGTTCTAGTGAAATACATACAATTAGGAGCAATCACGGGATATTATCATTTTATTTCTATTCAGTTCCCGATATTTAGATAGTATTTTGGACGACCTCGGTGGTCTAGCGGTCTAGCACACCGCTTTACGACCGATGGTCGCGGGTTCGATTCCTCGCACGGCACAAACATTTGTATCCATGAGTATGATTGTTTGTATCGGTCTGGGTGTTTTCTATGTATAATATGTATGTATTTACAAAAAAAAAATATCTATGTATATGTATCAGTTATCTAGTACCCATAACACAAGGTCTAGCTAGCTTAACTTGGGTCTAGATGGCGCTGTGTGAATTGTCCTGAGATTATTATTATTATTATTTAATTATTTATTTCAATTATCACGATCAATAAAAATAAATATAGATAGATATTTTTTTTATTTCTAATTTCGAGCGCGTATGACCGCAAGCTCACCTGATGTTAAGTGATGATATGGTCTAAGCTGAAAGCTCAAATAGAGCTTTCACTCTTGACTTGAAAGACCTAAATTTTATAAGAGGCAGGAAACATAGACGTTGGGAGAGAGCTCCACTCCACAGCTGCTCGCATAAGGAAAGATGACGCAAATCGGTTCGTACAAGTACGGTTCATTTATTGCCAATAAATACAACAATTTACAAATCATTACATAATATAAAACAAAGTCGCTGTCGTTGTCTGTCCGTCCCTATGTATGCTTAAATCTTTAAAACTACCCAATGGATTTTGAACCGTTTCTTTTAATCGCTTGCGTGATTCAAGAGGAAGGTTATATGTATAATACATGTACAACCGAACAAAGCCGGGACGAATATCTAGTAATACATAAAATAACATAGAAAATTGGCAATAGGAGCGGCCTGTTGCTGATAAGTAGAACTACAATGAGGTGCACCTATACAGCGCTGGTAATAGTAAATGGTATAAAGCGTGGTAAGATCCCGTGATTTTTCCTAAAGTATAGTAAAAGGTAATGGTAGAAGTATGGATTTTGTATGACAAAGTAGTTACAGCACTCCATGCAAACGTAGGGCAGGTGGAAAATGCAAGCCAAGCACACAACATGCCGTAGTGGATTAAAAAAAAAATTATAACACTCAAACGATCTCACCATATAAATATCACCCTGACTTACCCATGTTAAAAAACCATAATTTTTTCCTGTTACTGTTGGTTACTGTTATTATAGTGACAATGTCTTATATATTATATTATATTATATGTATAAATAATAAATAAATAAATAAACCTGGTCAATTTGAGAGAGGGATTGTTAGCAATGTGAACTACTCCATCGTTAGCACTGTTCCAAGTCAGTCAGGTTGACTTCCACGCGGTTCCCCGTGGAACCAACCTGACTGACTTGGAACAGTATACCAGATAAATTCCTAGTGAATTTGTTACGATGGGCCAATCTGACCTCATGCTTATCTTGTCATCCTCCACTGGTGCCCCGCCAGCGTAAACCGTTAGCGAAGGCGGGTGCACTATTACATTATCATAGATAAAAAAAACTCAGGTCAATGAACGCAGCGCCATCTAATCCCACGGTAAGCATAGCTTGTGTTATGGGTACTAGACAACTGATAATATATATCTCTTCTATAAATACATACATATACATAATATATATATAGTAAACAGCCTGACCGATACAAACAATCATACTCAAGAATATAAATGTTTGCACCGTGCGAGGAGTCGAACCCGCGACCATAGAAATAGAGCGGTGTGCTAAACCGCTAGACACAAAACCACAGAGGCCATATAATAAAATGTAACAGTTTGCTGTCTGTATACTGTATATGCAATACTAGCTGACCCGCGCAACTTTGTCTGCTTCACACTTACTTGACATTTATCAATGATATCTTTCCTATGTGTTATTCTGATGTATAAGCTATATTACAGTAAAGTTTCATCAGAATCCGTTCAGTAGTCTTTGCGTGAAAGAGTAACAGATATCAATGCATCCACTTCATCCATGCACTCACAAACTTTCGCATTTATATTATTTTTAAGTTGCAACGAAGTGATTATTCTCTGTACTATCTATGATTGCCTGGTAGAAATTACCCCATGGTGTTAAGTCCCCTATGTACTAGGGTTTTGTATTATGTGCTTTAAATAGATAAACGATAAAATCTATTACTGAGGGACTTTATCAACGTTATAGAACCCAAAACAATTACTGTTAGAAGTGTACGAGAAAGTCTTCCACTGTCTGTTCACTTATATCTTTCAAACTACGCATCGGATTTTAGTACAGTTTTTTACAATAAATAAGCTGATTCAAGAGGTAGGTTTATATGTATCATTGGTGTACACCCGTGCGAAGCTGGGGCGGGTACCTAGTATTATATAATATACAAATTGTTCAGTGAGTATATATTGTGAAGTGCCAGGTGCGTGTTTTGTTTAAATATAGTACAAAATTGTGAGCATAGCTTGGATCCTATGTTGTGTCTTTGTATATATTACATAATAATAATGTGACAAGCTTGTGTTTTTTATGAACCATCATTTTTTATTGGCTTCAGTGTACCCTGAAATATTAGCAAATATGAACGGCTCACATCAAAAAAAATATTTAGATCATAAATCAGACATTACGGTTTTTTTATATGCAGTTTTCTTTCCCGGTTCTTAAATAAATTAAAAGCCGTTGATAATTCACCAATAAGTACCAGGATTCCATAACCACACAGCTAGTAAACACTCTAGAACTCGTGTCAGTATAATTACTTGTGTACAAACCAAATTCACCACAGAGACCGTTATCCCAGACAATGTTTTGGACCTTGCGGTTGGAGGCTTACAACAGGACAATAACATAATATTTAGTATGGGAATACAGTTTAACAACAAGGAAATACAAGAGATTCGCTAAGTTTATTGAATAGTTCCATTTTCACGGAAGTGGGATCTGTTTATTTCATTCTTAAATTACCAATGTTTTTTTGTGAATCAAATTTTATATATGAATCGACAAAATTATTCAATACATAAATACATTTATAACTCAACCCAATAACTGCCTTTACACGTGCAAATCGGCATTCAGGCGGGAAAGAAATAGCATGTAAGTGTAGAAAGAGAGAGCGCGCCGCCAGCTCGTGCATTCCCGCGTCTTCAATCGTACGTGCTTTCGCGCCTTTTTGTAATAATTAATTATCATTGCAAAATGGCCGACATCTGACTATGGAGCAAAGATATTATAGAGTTATTGATAATCTATGAATCATAAACGTGTCTTTAAAAATATATGTATTTATTTAGGATCTTAAATACGTTTACAATTTATAACTATTTAAAATTAATTATGTACTTTGTTATTGTAAACATAGCAAGCATGATCACAGATTACATTTAAGTATTGAAATATGTGGGTCTTATATATTAAGGTACTTTAATTAAACATATATAAAATGATATATTCTGTATCATCATAATAAAATATTTGAATAAAATAATAAATTTTAAAAGAGACTGATATGAATTTTAAAAGAAAACTTGAAACGTATGGCTCAATCAAGCGCAAGAGTGAATACAAAAAATAGTAAATTGCAAGCACTCAATATTCGTACTGGCTCTCCCGCGCTAAATAGCATGTCCACACGTGGAAGAATATGTCATGTAAAGGCAGCTAATGAGCAAAGATTACTGTTGGTCAGTAAATATTTAACATGTCGAAGTTGCGCATAATACTTTCCATTTCAAATATCATATTAAAATAGGTCTATGTATATTGAAATTCGTAACTGACTTACGAAGTTCCCACTTGAGTGAATACATCAATAAAAAGACAACAAAAGGATCGAATAAAAAGTCGAAAGGAGACGCTAATAGAGAGATAGAGAGAGACACGTCAGTCCACCCAATCTGCCGGCCTACTAACCTTTGGCTTCTGAGTTTTGACACGAAGACTCGACTTGTAGAGAGGCTCCTCTTTTTCCGAGGTAGGTGTCGCCTGCGGCTTCTCTGCCTTTGCAGTGTTTGGCTTGAGTTCGTCTGTAGTGGTCTCAATTTTCGCGACACCCTCCGTTCCCTCCGACTCCTTTACCATATTATTGTAACAGCAAAACAAAACGGGTCATAAGAAGCGTTCACACGTAACAATATAACGCCGCACCGTGGACACGCCACTGAATGGAAGCGACATCGATCCCAACCAATTGAACATACGGACAGCAAAACAACAAAAACAATGGGTTCGAATGACTGTAACTCCGAACTAATAATATAGAATGATTACAAACATCATGCAGTCGAGTCTACTGAAATAAGTCTACCTGAACAAATCGATCATGATGCTAAACTACTTAATATCTAATTGAAAGATAAATTATTAGAAATTACCATACCGAGTACGGGTAATGGGGTAACATGCTACGGTAGAATTTTAGGAAATTTCAAATTACGAACTGCAGATACAACTATAAATAAGTACGGCTTTTTGTTTAATGAAATATCTAAAAATATAACATAACAATACTTAAATCATACTCGTGTATGTACAGCATTAAAAATTGTATCTCAATTAACTTGTCTACTCTGATTTATCGATATATAACTGACATACAATTCACAATTGGCAACATTAATAAACAAATAAAAAACCGACTTATTCACAGCGCTATTAAGAAATGTATACTAACATTAGACTATGTAGAAACCTACAATTTTTTTATACTATACCTCACACAAATAAACAATAACTGCGCATGCCATCCTTGCACAGTAAAAGTACACTTTCATATTGCAAGTTCAAGATTAAATTAGACAGCGAGCTAGAAAGAGATGGAAGTATGCTTACCTTCATAGACGGGGAGTCTAGCTCATTAATTGTTGAGTTATTTTCATCTACGACTATCATCGCGTACTCCACGTCTTCGCCGTTGTGATCTGTACAGAAACGATACTCATATTATGAATTTATAATCTGTTATTATCCTTACTCAGAGACAACATCGATTAAGCTTGCTTCAATAAGCGGATAGGTTGAGGTCTTGCTGGTTGTCTGTATTTTGTGAGATTAATAGTATATTAAATTTGAAATACTGTACATTTTCTTTAATATCAATACAGAAAGTGACCTACAAGTTTTAGTCAATGATGAAATAGATTCCATAATCCAATCCAATCACAATTTGGTGAAATGACAATATTCTTTAAACTATTTTCATTTACCAACGGATATTTACATTATTTATATTTTTAACCAGGTCTTAACACGAATAATTTTATGGCAGATAAAGGTCTCTCGATGTTTCAACTAGGTTGCACTAGCCGTGGTCACGAGTTGACTGGAGCAAATACCTTTATTTGCCATAAAATTATTCGTGTTAAGACCCGGTTAATAATATAACTAATGTATATTAAAAATAACTATATATACAGTACAGTATTTCATATATATGTATTGTTTATTTACTTATCTACATTATTAGAAATATTATAATCTAAAACTATCACTGCAAAATTTCACACATGCATTTGTTTAATACAACTTATGATCACCTATGACTACGCAATGATGTTGCAAATTATATATAAAAAAATTAAAATTAGAAGCAGTGCTTTAGCAGTGCAGTTAATCACTGTTTTGTCTTTGAACATAAAATTTTAAAAATAAAGTAGTTCACTTTTTAATAAATTAAATAAGAAACTATTAATAAAATTTAGTTTAATGCTAGTATGTTTTTTAAATCAAGACAAAACAATGTGAGGAATATCGACCACGTGTAGTTGGAACTGTTGCATCACAATTTCTTGACCAATCAATAAACAATTTGATGTTTTATTTTATAAATTGGTAAAAAAAACAAATAGATGACTCGATCATTGATGTCATTGATGCGTGATTTGATAGCACCACGTCATCATTTACTAGGATAACATAAATTGAAGAATATATTCAAACAGATTGTGGAAGTATCTACTAGAGAGTTGCAATATAGTACTCATACAAGTAATTTGTATTAAAGGAGAGATTTTGTGATGCTAACTCTACCCCCTTAACACAAAGAATATCACAAATAAAACTATAAGGTAATTATGAATTTGTTTTTTTAATTTGTGTGGCGACTCCTAACAACATTTGCGGTAAGAGGGTTCTAATGGGCGTGAACTGAGATGCAGACGTGTTGGCGACGCACAAGAAAAAAACATGTAATTTTAACCTTATTTTAGAGATTGTCAAAATGTACAGCGTAGTCTTATTTTTTTAAATTACGGGTAATTACTCAAAATTTAGTCTAATAGGACTATTTCAGATTTTCAAAAAATGCCATCTTTCCAGAATATTTATGTACTTTTGGAAACTTTGGAATGGGGTACATAATTAAGCTAGAATATCCTATTTTATATTGTAAATAAAGTTATAAATTTGTAGCTAATATAAGATATATGTAATTATTTATCTTCTATTTATATCAATTTATACTGTATTATATGCATTTAACAAATCACACAATATCTCTGCAAATAAAGTAATCTCAACTCTGTCCCATAATTTCACTAGCAGTCTTTCTTTACGTCTTTGCTAGCTACAGTCTAATACCTTTGAAGAACTGTTAAGATATAAGTTTAGTTAGGGGAAAATGTGCATCGCCAATAGTCTGTAGGTCAGCCACAGAGGTCTACATGTTACAGAATGCAAGCTTGAATATTAAATTAATAAATCGGAAAACTACTCGTAATTAAACACAATCGAGTAGTGTGAACAGTACTGTTTCTAGCTGTCATATACCACTGTTATACTTCCAGACTGAGCACTGGTTTAAAGTTTACACTCTGTATATGCAACGTTTACACTTCCAGAAAGAGCACTGGTTTAAAGCTTGCACTCTGTTCATATATGAACCTCTGTGGTTCAAGCCCGCGGGTGAGGCCGAGCGTGTGGTTACCTGCGTGAGCGCGGTGGTAACTAGCGATGCGTGTGTGCGCGTGCGTGTTATTGTTAACGTGACTGCAATCGAGCTTGCAGTGTGAGTGTGGGTGGCGGTGCGCGGGGTGCCCACCGGGCAGGAACTGCGGGTACACGTGGTGGGACCACTGCGGGAACAGCGGCCGGCTGCCCGCTGCTCGCACGCCAAGGAGGAGGAGCATCACGGGTACCAGGAGAACGTGACCGGGGATGGTAGTAGGTAAGGTGTTATTGATGTATAGATCAAGGAGGAGGATCATCACGAGTACCAGGAGAACATGACCAGGAGATGTTAGTAGGATAAGGTGTTATTGTTGTATAGATCGAGGAAGAGGAGCATGACATGTACCAGGAGAATATGATCGGGAGACGTCAAATAGGTTAAGGTGTCAGGAAATCGTTAAACAGTCAAAGTGGAAGAGCATCACGTGTACCAGGAGAATATGAGCAGGAGACGTTAATAGAATAAGGTCATTTATGCAGGAGAAAAACGTTAAAAAATTCAAAGAGAGGAGTGCGCGTTTCACACGCATATCAGGAGAACATAAGGGAGAGACGTTAATAGGATAAGGTATCAAAAGGAAATCGTTTTAAAATCCAAGGTCGGGGGATATCGAGTGTGTATCGACACACCAAGGCAACATCAGTGAGCAGGAGGTGTGATTGTAATGCAGTCGATCGTTGTATAAGAAATAAAGCATAATGAATTAAAAAAAGACCAGTTGACGCCGTGTAACGTTAGATGTGTACCAGCGATGCGGTGTCGTAGTGTAGTAAAATGTTGACGATTTTACCAGTGTCCCAAATCGTGACGCGTATATCAAGCGGCGTGAAAAAAGGAGAAACGACACACTTCAGATATACAAGTCTATTAGTATTCTTCAGTACATCGCCGCTGTCAAACAAATCAAGTCCAACAAAGTTTATATCTTCATAAATTTAGTCTGATGTCTATAGAATATAAATAATTACTAATATTAATAAAAAAATAAATTGTTGACGGCGACTGCACCTTATAAATAATGATGAATTATAAAGATTTCTGAATATTTAATTATTATATAATACGTATTAATATTAATGAATACATGACTTATACCAATGAGTGCAATGAAGCGTATAAAAGAAGCCAAATAAATAGCACTTACATAAAATATCTAATAAACAAACCCGACAGCTCTAGGGTTAGTAAAAAAAATAATCACATATAATATATTATATATTAAATATATTGCATACAGCTATCGGTCGTTGCTGTTCATAGAAAGTGCTTTTAAACTACTGCAATTATTGTTTTGTGCTCACTTAAAATTAAATAATTTATTTACATTTATAATGAAATAAGTTGTAAAACAAATAAATCGCAAGAAATAAATAAATAGGTTATAATATAAATAAATTATTTTTCTATACCGTTTAACGCACAATGTATCTCTTATTGAAAATAATTTAAGCATATTTTTAACACAAAGTCTGTGTTATAAACTTAAGAGGTTTTCACACACCAATAAAATAAACAAATAACAATAAAATTAAATAATAATTAATTTAAATATATAGCGAATATTTCAAATTAAAATTCAAAATAAATGCGTTAAGATATTTGTTAAAAATAAGTTCAAAAACGTTGAATTAATGTCATTAACAGTAATATATTTCTTAAATATCACTAACTCAGTCATATTTTCATATCACATATTTTCTATGATTACTTAATCAAATATAGTGTTAATTAATGAAATATATTAAATAAAGTAATATAGTAAAAAGTAAAATATATATAGTATAAAGTAATATATAGGGAATAAAAATTTCTACTTTATTTGCAACAGATTAACACAAAAATTACTTGACCATTTAGGTATAGCTAATTTTTTACGTAAAATACGGCACGTATTTCACGTAGTTACGGCTAGTTATTAACAAAGTTTGGTTTATATGACTACATATAAATATAAACAAATATATATGTAAGTATTTATTTATTTATATTTAATATTACTATGCGTTTTATTTATCTAGTCTATTCTTGGGCTATCTACCACTTTCTGGTTTCTGTCCTCTAATCAAAGATTTTCTTGGAGAGATTCTTTTTGCGATAAGTTTATCTTTTATACCTTATTACTTCTACTTATGTTCTCTATAATTTACTTGGTACAATAAATAGTATAAGTAAATAAATATATAATATAATAATAATAATCCTGGACAATTTACACAAAATTATTTAGTCCCAAGCTAAGCACCTGTGTTATGGGTACTAGACAACTGATATAAATACACAGATACTTTTTTTAATATATACATAATATACATAGAGAACACCTATACCGATACAAACAATCATACTCATGAATAAATGTTAGTAAAGCGGTGTTCTAAACTAGACCTGGAGGTCGTCAATATATTTTTTGTTTTTATAATATATATGTAGTTTGGTGGATGTAAATGTAAATATATGTTAATCACCATGGTGATCGGCCGCGTGGTGCGGGCGGCGGGTGCAGTCGGCGGCCAGCGACGGTGGCTCCAGGATGTCGCGGTACTTGGACACCATCAGCACAGAGATGAAGTACACTATCGCCAGCGACAGGAACTGCGCCTGCTTCGTCTCCTCCTGCAATCATGCTCGCATGTCATCATCATTGCCATCATTGTTTGGGGTCGGTGCAGTATGTCATTCTCTTTCGGCCGTCATATCTGAGCATACTCTTCTTTTATTCATATCATCTTTCACACAATCCATCCATCTCTTTTTATGACGTCCTCTCCCTTTCCATCCACCAACCTTCATATTATACACCTTCCATAAGACATGGTCCTCGTTCCTCCGCATAACATGCCCATACCAGCTCAGTCATGCTCGCATGTATCATTACATTAATACGTGAAGTGGAAAAATTTTACGCCTTATAGCTTAGAAGCCTAATGTTGATTGTTTGGTTACCAAACTGACCGAAGTTACGGTTTTGTAACGGTCAGGTTTCCGTACTGATTATTTGGAGACTCACAAATGCTAATGATGGCGGAATAAAATAAAGTAATTTAAATATATTAGTAAATAAGATGGAGGGATATTCAATAAACAAGACATGTCTACTCTTAAGACATCCTGGAGATGACTAGGAGGGGTTAAACACAGTCACTTCATCATCTCTAAACCAAAAAAATTCATTAACAGACTCGACAGCTGATTATAAGATATTGTTTTTGTTTCGTAAAAAAACAATATTTTCCTTTCAGCAGTCGAGTATAAAAAGATACTACTATATCAAGTTTTTGTAATATAAAAAGTTTTTGAATATTATTATTTACTCATAAGACATAGATTGTTCAGTGCTCTATATTTCATTTTATGGTATCTAAAGTCAAGATAAATGTGATTAACATACCACGTCTCTATATATTACAGCCCGCAGCCTGTTTACATCCATATCTTGGAGTAACCTCTCTGGATCCTTCACGGGACTTGAACTATCTGCTAGACTCGCGACCACACTCTGTCAATTAGAAAAAAAAATACATACTTATGACAAATATTATGTTTCAATTAGAAATATTTCTAGGAGGTAAATTTAAAATATGGACGCCTGCGCATAAAATTATAGCAAAATATACGATCTGAATTATGTCTATTGAGAAGATTAGGCGCGACTATCTGTGTCGTTGAGTTACAGTACATTAGTACAAAAACAAAAGGTACCTTTTTTTTTATTTATAGTAATATAATCATTTAAGAGTTAAAAATTTTGACTTCTTTATTTGAACAATAAAACGCTTTGCTTTATAATAGATAATTAATTACCACAGCCTATGGACAAAGGTGTTACGTGTACTTGAAGCTTTTAAAAGAAAAATTTTGAGACGTATAGACCAGAAATTTTAGTAACATAATTTCAACATTTAATTACAATTTAAACTTTCAGTAATGTTCTAATAGCATAAAAAACTCTTTTAAACTTTTAATTGATCAGTAATTAACTATACTAACAGTCAAAATCTGATAGTTAATCTAACCATTTGTTAAAAATAACAAAATTCTTTTATTTTTTTACGATAGTTAAAGTAACTATATCTAAACGTACTAACAGTTGGTTAAAAAGTAAACCATCCATGAAATGAGTAGTTACTTTTAACCTTTAGTTGGCTTGTAGTTAACCATTGTAGTGATTAGTGTAAAAAATATATAATTTTATATTTATTTAACAATTCATCAAAATATAATAGAGTAATGGTACAAGTAATAACTGTCCCACATGATAGTTATATTTAACTACCAATGTACTAGGGGAGTATAACATTATAGGAGGTATGAGATATAGTTTTTGCACAAACATAACGTATTCAACGTGAGAGAAGGTTGATCAGAATAATAAGAGCATCTATAACACAAAAGAATAATTACAAGTTATAATTAAATGGTTATGCATGTACTATACATAAACTAACACTAAATATATAAAATAACATGCGTTTTTGACTATAGATCCATAATTGCGTCCTGTAACAATGTTTAAGGAATACACACTCGTAATTATATTTATGAGAAAAGTGGAATTACAGATGGCATGCGTTTTAAATAAATTATAAATAGTTGAAATAAATATAATCTTGCGTTAATATTTATAACAAAACTATATGAATTTAGTTAAGTTGAGGAAATTAAAAAAAAAATACAGAAATAATATTATGTTATGTGTGATATCACTTAAAAATAAGTAAATATAGTATTTTGTATTCTATGTTTATTATTTAGGTATTTATAGGAAAGGATTTACGTATTTGTATCTGTTGTCTGGTTACCATAACATAAGCTCTGCTTAGCTTGGAATAGATCTCGTTGTGTGAATTGTCTAGTGTTATTATTATTAGTGATTAGTTAAATATTACTAATTTAGCATAAAAAAAAATTAATACATTAAATTATTATTTATTTTATAATTGAAATTTGCTTGACAACTTTTAAATTAGAAATATTGTCCAGAATCCAATGTAGTTTAAAGTCTGGTAAATATTCATAATATTCACTTTTTTGTTGCAAAAGATTATGTGATGAAAATTATCTTTCATGAGTCACGACCTACGAACAAAAGGCATATCGTACATTTTCTGGTAGAACCATAGACAAGTGCGTTTTTTTCGTAGGATTTATTCTATTATATCAAACAGGTGAGAATGTACGAAATAACTCCTGGTAGTGGCACGTGGTCTGTGCGTGTGGGTAAGGATAGAGCGAGAGGGGAATAGTGGGCGGTACCTTGCCGTCGGGGTCGTCGGGGCGGCGCGGGGTGCGGGCGGTGCGGGGGGCGCGGGCGGCGCGAGCGGCGGCGCAGCGTTGCCTCTCCTTGCACTCGAGGCAGTTGCGCACCGCACACGTGCACACCTGCGCACGCACACTACACTACCTACCCAGCACACGCGCGTCGAACACCCCACTCTTTATGCTCGCCTGGTACTTTTCACTACACTTTACTACTAATTAATTACTGATTTTTTTTATAAATTGTGTTTGTAGATTAGTTTATTAAAAACATCTACGAGTCCAAGAGTTCGGTGTCCGAGCAGCGTATCTAACTATAGAAAATAGAAGTAATATTTGAAGTAGGACAAGAAGTATAGGACTACATTGTAACTTGCTCTAGACTATTATTTGTTCTATATTTTAACTATAATATACAAGAAGTACCTATACGATAAGTTTCTCTAAGCATTCATTTTATGAAATACTTTACATACTATGAAGATCTAATCGAGTACATTGAAAGAATCGAGTAGTAAATTATTGATTGAACAAAATAAAAAACGTCTAAGTATTATTGTTATAAAAAAATCAGTCGTGCTATTCTACTGCTATATAGTCAGCAAATCTGATAGAAACATTTCTATATCATGACAAACACTATTACAGAAAAACTACTGTATACAACATATACTATATGGCCAATAAAGTCATAAAATATCCACAGAAGTGAAGAAAAATGGCCAGAAAATTACCAATTACCTTGTGTGTTTGACAACACGCTACTAGGATCACATAAGTTGCAAGTTAGAATAACACGACCAACACAGCGCAATAGCCGTTCACAATATGTTGGGAGCTTACCAGTCTAAGGCACTGCCTAAGAATTCCACCGCTGGACATATTCTTCTCTGCTTCCAGTTCGGCGAAGTTGAGGGCGCTTGCGAATATGAGCACATCTGCCATGCTGACGAGGCGTTGCAGGAAGGTCACAGCTACCTCTACCGGCATGCCTTGGGTGGGCTCGATCACGTCCAATTCATTCTGAAAGGTAGATATATTTATATATATATATAGTTTTCTTATTTATTTAAAAACTATTGCAATAATGTGGATAATTTAGCGGTAGATATCCAAATAAAATCTTGCCTGTATTGTTAAAATACCTATATAAAAGCAATTGTTATCCAATGAATATCCGGATATATAGCAAATTACCGTATGCTTTAAAGGAATTACCGCTGAAACAATTTTAAGTACAACTATTTAATTTATTGGTAGACAAAGGTAATACAATAAATGATTGTTGAAATAATACTGGAGTATAACTTATTATCATACATAAATTTATTGATAATAACTTACATAATTTTAACACTCGTAATGGACATAGACCAATTGGAAATATCTAAATATTGCTTTTTAATAATAGAATAGAAAATAATTTATTCAAATAAACTTAATTTAAGCACTTTTGAATAATTATAACGTTTAAAATAATCAAATATCTAACAATTTTGTTAAATTATGTAAAAACTAGAATAATTCACATATAATTATGTATGTTTGGAAGTCTGGAAATTCAAATTTAAACATAATTTATTCATATAGCACAAAGACTACTACAACAAGAAGTAAGACGTAGATTAGAGAAGTAGAATAGAGTGGTCCTCTATTCTACTTCTCCAATCTACTGCTAAATTTTAGACGATATGTATCACTTTCATTACAAATAATAAATTTCATTTCAGGTGCGCTGTTCTATTCTTCAGTTTGGCATTACAATGTGCCTACACATGTAATAGTTCCATCAACACTTGAGACCCTTCCATTAGTTTACGTCTCCACTAACAATTGAAAATAAATTCAAATTAAAAATATCTTTATTCATGTAGGTCTATTACAGACTCTTATGATATGTCAAATCTACCGTCAGTTCGGTGTGATTTCGAGATGAGTAGAATTGACAAGAAGCTCAGCTCGTATTCTTTTAAATAAATCTTGTACATGATTACAATAATACAGATTCATTTTTAAATTGAAATTTAGGAGGATAGAGTTTTGTCCAACATATGCTATTGCAAAAGCAAATAGTCTAATCAGTGTTCCTAACCCGAACAGACCAGTCCCCACAAGCAGCACCCGGTCACGAGTATGATGGCAGTAAGAGCAAGCATTGCACTCAACCATATTAGAGGGAACACATTGACCCGGCCCATCACGCCGCCACAAGTTTGAACTTTATCGCGATCACAGATTTAAGTTTAGTGTAAACAGTCCATATCCCGGCTCCTTGCGGAATGTACGCGTTACCAATAAGCCATGTAGCACACTAACAAATAAACTTACTAATGTACAATAAATAGTACAATTATTTCACTGGAATACTTACTAATTAGATACTCTAATATATGCATGATGCATAAGCTATATAGGTGTAAAGTTTCATCGAAATCCGTTCAGTAGTTTTTGCGTGAAACAGAAATTAGAGAAAAGAGAAACATCAATACTTACAAACTTTCGCGTTTATAATATTATTATATTACATTATTACTAGCTGTCTCGGCAAACGTTGTTTTGCCTTAAAATAAAAAAAAAGTAGGGGTGGACTACCCCTAACATTTAGGGGTATGTAAAATAGATGTTGGCCGATCCTCAGATCTACTCAATACGCTCTCAAAATTTCATGAGAATCGGTCAAGCCGTTTCGGAGGAGTATGGGAACGAAAACTGTGACACGAGAATTTTATATATAAGATATAAGATTAAGATGTAGTGACACCTCATTACACCATATAACACGCTACAGTGGTGAGGTGATAACTATAACAATTACAACTAAAATATGGTCGAGCGCAGTGATGGCTGGCTCATCCGTCATACTCGTGAACGGTTGCTGCTTGTAGGGACTGGTCTGCTCTAATCACTATGACTGATTTCCTCTTATTAATTGTTTAACCAGTTGGTTATGTATTCAATATTTTTTTCTTTTTGAGTATTTAATTGAATTAGTGCTAATCGGTGGTTTGTATTCACACACTTAAACTTAAATTGTAAGTAAGAATAAATTGTTTAAAAGAGCAACACACAAGTTTCTTGCTTGTTCTTCTTGTGATGAGACAGCATTCCGAATGAGCGGTAGATTAAAAAAAAAAATGTTATGACTATTCAAAAGTGCTTCAATGTAAGTTTATTTGAATAAATGATTTTCTATTCTTTTCTATTCTATTCTACAAAATATTATATATATAATACGTACATTAGGCGAGGTAGCTGACGCAAGTAGAGGTAATAATCCACCGCACGCGATAATCAGATTATCCGCCAGTTGACTAATGAGATGCACCGTGTTGACAACGAATATCGCATTCTCGCTACTGTTCACAAAGTCGATCACTGACTTCGTCGAATGACTTCTCCACACCTGGAAAATATATAATACTTCTATTTAGTGATGTTGGTTATTAGAAATATGCTATTACTAAAACGTGGAGTTACGACAGCAATGACAGATTGGATAGTCAGAGAGTCGGTAATATTGAGGGACAAACTGGAGGCTTTTGAAATGTAATGTTAGAGGATGGAGAAGAATGGAAAGATAAAGTAAGAAACGAAGAAGTACTACACAGTGTAAAAGAAAAAAGGCAGATATATAATACAATAGAAAACAGACGAGGAAATATGTTAGGACACTTGATACGGTACGATTGTTGTATTAAAATTATTATTGAGGAAAAAATAAAACATTTAAAGAGCACTAGCTTTTGGCCGCGGCTTCGCCTGTGTTAATTTATCCCCTTAGGGGTGGAATTTATCAAAATCCTTTCTCAGCGGATGCCTACGTCATAACATCTACCTGTATGCCAAATTTCAGCCAGATCCGTCCAGTGGTTTGGGCTGTGCGTTGATAGATCACTTATGTCAGTCAACTTTGAGTTATATATATTTAGATGATGGAAGATCGCGGAAAGTGGCAAAAGCTCCAAAGACAAGAGCGTAGTTTTTAAATTATGAATGAATGAATAAGTATTCATTCAACACATATAGCTAAACAAATTTTAAATTCGACGCTCCTGGCGTCGAACCTACTGCCGCGCGTATCTTTAGGTTTATTGTGATTACTTATAGATAATGGTATTGATACATTTATGTGTAAGTAATAGTTGTCTGAAAGAGTAGTATGTAGGTACATCCTGTTCTTATATTATTAAATTATATTTTCATATTTAAATATTATTTTTAAAGGTGCAATATTGTGTAATAAATAAAAAATAACTAATAAATAAAAACTTTAAAATTTTAGGTCGACTCAGTGTAACGTTACCACAACACTTTAATTGCAAAATGATACAATATATATATACCAATTATAATTTATTCGCAATATATACCTGTATATCAGTTTCGAGAGAGAACAATACATCAGAAAGCAATCTCTGATGTATGTAAGACCAACGAAATTCCGGAATACGAAATGGCGGTCTCGTCGGACCCGGAGAGAACATAGGCCGCGTGCAAGTTGACGGACGCTTAGTCTCTGCAAGAGATTATTAATTATTTAGATAATTAAAAACAATTGTAATTTACTTTCGACAAAAACGTATATTTACCAAAATGATTCGAGTCCACTTGCGTGCTAGTAGACGCACTTCGTGGCCTCTTTGGCGATGCTGACGTGTTGGTACCTTGTGTAGCTACACCATCACTTCTACTGCTATCCTGTTTCATTTCGTTATCGCCAGGTAAACTGACACGTCTTTTCTCTCTTTCAATTTCACGATTTCTTTCTTCTTCATCCTCTTGTTCTATATTATTAGCTAATGAGATATTCTCACTGATAGTCGAAATGGGAGGGATATCAGGAGTCTTCTGCTCTTCTGATACTGGTATGTCTACTCTTTGGCTATCATTTTTTACATTTTCTTCATTTACATTGCTACTTATATCGGTCTCTAATTGATCTGTCTCGTCTTGCCTTGAATTTACTAAAAACTCTCCATCAAGAGGTAATACGTTGCCCTCGTGTGGATGATCAGACGGTATTACTCTCTGTGGACTATTGTCGTCTGTCGTACTGGTCACTGTTTCATCTCTTTCCTCGCATTTCGTTAAAACTGAAGAAATAACATCATTAATAATATCATTTGCTATCAATTCAGCCGTTTGTCGCTCGTCAATTATTTCTTCTATCTCCTGCTCAAAGTCATCTCTACCGTTGGGTGTATTGCCTTCGGAATGTAATCCACCAGAAATAGCTCCGGAATCCGTATCGTCGTCGGTTTTTAATCTTACAGTTTCTAAAGCGATTGTCAGTACATCGTTCACAATATTTATCGCGATGTGCTTCGGATCGTCGTTTTCGACCTCATCGGGAACATTTATTTCAGTCTTATCTTGTGTTTTCTTAGGACTAGTAGCTTCACTCGGAGTCAAGTATAACTCGGATGGATCGGACAGTTCCGATTCTCTTTCAGTGGTAACGTTTAATTCTGCGACTCTCTCGGGACTCGCGGTTTCGCTAGCGGACAAACTCGAAGGGATACCTTCGCTCTTGTCGGTGTTGTCATCTTTCGAGACGCCGTCTCCCACGTCTCTCACGGGAATGTAATCGAGACTACCTTGTCGCGTCAGATGCTTTTCTACCGTTTCAGAATTCTCTACCGTTCCGATTCCGGACTCGGAGCTCTCTAGTAGGTTCGTTTCGTTAATAATAGATCGCACTAGTTCGTTATCGGGATTGAGCAACTTATCTTCCGTAACGGACGCGTCCTCGTCGACCGCGTGTTCCACTTCACTATTTGTACACGTAACACTATCACAACCGTCGACCGGAGGCACTTGGGTAGTTCCGGCCTGTTTGGCGGGGCTGTGCACCTTGCAGACCTGGCTGTAGAGGACGGGCGTCGGCCGCGCGTCGCAAGTGCAGTCGGCGGGGTCCGCGGGGTCGGCGGGGTCGGCCGGGTCGGTGGGGTCGGCCGGGCGGCGCGGGGGTCGCTCCCAGCCTGAGATCGTGGAGATGGGCCGCTGCTGCCGCTCCGCCGGGTCCGTGATGTTGTCCGCGCGCCGCTGCTCGTAGTGTTCGTACATTTGCGCGAATTGCAGCTTGAACTCTTCGTATGACACCTTCGAAAATATACTTATGTTAATTAACATTTATTTTTTAATATTACATATATTTTTAATCATATTTACCACATAGGTGCTAACAAATTATGTCTTGTTATCATGAGTGGCTACTTCCAAACTGGTAGCCCGTCAGCTAATATCGTTTACATAAATAAATAATAATACCTTGGAATGTACGATAGCGAGAGTGTCGACCCAAACGCGCCAGCCGCCGTACTCGTGCTTGATGGCATGGTGCAGCAGCATACGGAACAGGGAATAGACCATGTCTGAAATCTTTTGCTCCTCCGCGCTCTTAGGGTGGATATACGCCATCGCTATTAACCATTCCTGTAAAACAATAAGAAGGAATACCAGCTAAATATAATGTTTATGTAAATTGAAAATAGACTTAAAGTAACAACTAACTCTGTCTATACTATAGAAAAGGATAAAATAGTCGAAAACCTAAATGAAGTTACAAGAAGTTAAATGATTTTGCTAAAGGTAATCATTGATGAATGCAGAAGGTTATGTGATGAATTCAACAACTTAATGGCCTGGACAGAAAAGGATTCAGAACAGAAGGAAGTGGAATCAGAGACGAAGATGGCTAATACTACGCGAGGAGTGGCTGTTGTTCTCACTGAGAAATGTGAAACAGTGTTTTAGATAATAAGGAGTGTCGGAGTTAAAAAGAATGTTCTAAAACTTATGGTTGACTGGTAGAGAACGCCCTTAGGTGTTAAGTTCGCCATATGTACATTTATATATTGTATTTGTGCATTAAAGTTTCAATAAATAAATAAAGCAGGGATGAGTAACACGCGGCTCGTGAGCTGCAATATGGATCTAGAGTTAATAACGGAATGAATCTGAATTTAAACACCATTAGAAAAGTCATAACGGTAATCAAGTTTCCGCACTGAATATTTGTGATCTCACACATGCTAATTGTAGCAGAATTAAACAAAATAATATAAATCCATTAAGCAGTGAAGTAGACTTCCGTAAACCAACACCTAATTATACACGATTAAATATAATACAAACTTAACTATAGGAATGACAGTTGTAGAACCCTCACCTGCCAGACACTCATCTGCAGCACGGTCCGCCTGTTCTCCCTGTTGTTGCTGCACAGTAGCGTCATGTCGGAGAGGAACAGCTTCTTCACCTCCAGCAGCTGTTCCGTCTGCTTCGACTGACGGATCAGTGTCGCCACCACTTTTAATATCACTGTGAACACAAAAGGTTTCAATCAGTTCTTGAATAAGCGTCGTGATCGTGATGTCGTGAATTCATATTTGGTTGATACCAAAAAATTTTTGCGTGTCAATTTATACTTCTGACTAACTCTACGCGCGGCTTCATCCGCGTGTTCTTTTAGTTCTATATATATATATTTCAGAAATAAAGATAGCCTAAGTAACTTTTTATAGATTTAGCTATTTGCAAGTGAAAGTCCAGTCAAATTTGATTTTAAGTGTAATATAGTGCACCTAATGTAGGTATAGTGAAAGCCATAGTAGAATATTAAAATAAAAAATGTATTTAAACTAATACGCATAAACAAAATTAAATAGGATAAGAATCGCTGTCTGTGGAAATAAAAAAAGAAATGATGTTGGGTGCGTTACTTGGGTTCTCGAGGCGGAAGTGCGGCTGCGGCTCGGGGTGGCTGGTGTAGAGTACTATAATGGGAGTTATGTTGGTGACGTCACTTGGGTTCTCGAGGCGGAAGTGCGGCTGCGGCTCGGGGTGGCTGGTGTAGAGTACTATAATGGGAGTTATGTTGGTGACGTTACTTGGGTTCTCGAGGCGGAAGTGCGGCTGCGGCTCGGGGTGGCTGGTGTAGAGTACTATAATGGGAGTTATGTTGGTGACGTTACTTGGGTTCTCGAGGCGGAAGTGCGGCTGCGGCTCGGGGTGGCTGGTGTAGAGTACTATAATGGGAGTTATGTTGGTGACGTCACTTGGGTTCTCGAGGCGGAAGTGCGGCTGCGGCTCGGGGTGGCTGGTGTAGAGTACTATAATGGGAGTTATGTTGGTGACGTTACTTGGGTTCTCGAGGCGGAAGTGCGGCTGCGGCTCGGGGTGGCTGGTGTAGAGTACTATAATGGGAGTTATGTTGGTGACGTTACTTGGGTTCTCGAGGCGGAAGTGCGGCTGCGGCTCGGGGTGGCTGGTGTAGAGTATCTGCTGTCCGACATGCTCCGTGAGCAGCTCGTACAGTGCGTTGTAGACAGGCAGCGCGAGCCCCTCGCCGCTCGCTCCCAGCCGCGTCGCCAGCAACGTGTACAGGTTATGCGGCGACATCACGTCGTACTTGCGTCTGCAACGTACACGAGAAGAATCTATTTTATACTATATTGTAATGGAGGAAAACTGTGTAATGTAATGAAGGAATAATCATATGAAATAATGAAAGGATAATCATATTACAAAAACGTGCCGTTCGAGCGATCTACTGTATGAAGAGTCGTGACTCATTAAGAGAGAAATTCAAAGAGGCAAATATTCTCACCGTTGCTTCTCAATTTATATATTCAAATATCCTATATGTTCATAAAAATCTTGACTTATTTCCAAAAAACAGCAATATTCATAATATTAATACAAGATTTAAAGACAAACTTGCTGTCCCCAAGTATCGTTTAGAAAAAGTTAATAGGTCTTTTATGGGAATAGGTATAAAAATTTACAATAAGATACCAAAGGATATGTTGGAATTACCCTTAAATAAATTCAAAACATCTGTTAAATCATATTTACTGAGCAAAGCCTATTACTCACTAAACGATTACTTGAATGACGAGTGTGCATGGCAATAGTTGTTCATGCACTGAATTTTCATTTAATGTTAGACATAGACACCTATATAAATATACATTGTAAATAAACTGGCTTTAAAAAAAAAGTAATTCAATTGAGTTTCTTGCCAGTTCTTCTCAATTGGATCTATATACCGAACTGGACGGTAGGGAAAAAAATAAAATTATAATGTAAAAATTTGACGTTCATAAGCGGCTAAAATGTCCTACATGAATAAATGATTTTTGAATTTGAATTTGAATTTGAAGGTAAATTGTTACAGCCTATGCTGTAAATACTATAAGTGGAGTGGAGTAACTTGAAACAGCCATGCTCGCTGTAAAATTTTGGGGGCGTGGCGGGCCGGGTCCCTCATGCTCATGCTCTGACTCATCCGTCATACTCGTGAATGGGTGCTGCTTGTGGGGACTGGTCTGTTCGGGTTACGAACACTAATTAGCCTATTTGATTTTGCAGTAGTATATGCTGGTGGTCAAACAATTTTAGTAAAATTTCTGTTGCGGCCTCTCTTGACAAGACTGCTTGCTGCCGCTTATAAGACATAACAGACAGACGGACAGACCAATATAGGAGACATGAATACGACAGATACAAAGACGAACTACATGACAGTATAGGAATTTTACTAATTATATTTTATGATCAAACAAGTTCTCCTCTTTCATTACCTATGATAATCTTAACAGTCGGCAGAACCGCAGCAGACCGTTCAATTACCAAAAAATATTGTTATGATTTTTCTGTGCTTGTTTCGTATTAAACAAAATCTAATTTTCCGGCAAAAAACCGACCGATCTTCTATAACATACTCATACATGCAAAAGACGTGAAAGTCTTCAAAGTTCAGCTTAGTTTGAGACTAGATGGCGCTGTGTGAATTGTCCATTGTTATTATTAGTACTAACAGATACTCTATATTTTTGTGTAATCTTTAAATATATCTTCTTTAAATATAAATACGTGGTACATATAAATTAATTTGATTTTCTGTTTACATAATATTTCACTTACTTGTGTGTACTTCTGCTCAAGAAGAAACCGAGTAGTTTCAACGCCTGGAGTCTTATTAGTTGACTTTCAGATGAAAGCAACTTGAAAATAGTCCGCACCCCGCCCTGTTTGTAAATGAGACACTGTCAATATTTAGATTCAAACTCTGTTCTGTTCTGCATTCCTAGTAGTAATTATCCATACTAACATTATAAAAGCGAGAAATGTCTGTATGTTTGTCACATTTTCATGACTGGTCTATAATTGGCTAAGTAGATCTTAATGAAATATCTGCATATCTATCTTTTATCTTATAGTAGATACTCGCCCCGGCTTCGCACGGGTGTACATGTATTATATATATAAACCTTCCTATAAAATCATCTATCTATTTAAAAAAACCGCTCCAAAATCCGTTTAGTTTTAAAGATTTAAGCATTAGGGACAGACAGACAGACAGCGATTTTTTTCAATATGTAGATTATATACCGAACATGTCCGCGTGTATCAAAAAATATATCAAGAATAATTAATTACATTTTTTGTCATGAAATTTATAGTCTATTTGTGTCCGGCTACGTTGTTCTCTAAAAACTAAAAAAAATAAAATTTAGCTGGAATCTAACATTTATAATGTAAAAATTTCTGAGAATGACGTTCATAAGCGGCTAAAATGGAACGAAAACTGTGACATGAATTTTATATATGATATATTTGAATTTTGATATATTTGACTGACGTATAAGCTATATTACTGTAAAGTTTCATCAAAAACCGTTCAGTAGTTTCTGCGTGAAAGAGTAACAAACATCCATCCCTACTCACAGACTTTCGCGTTTATAATATTAATAAAATAAGAAATGTTTTAATGCAGAAAAACAATTAATTAAATGCTATTTTTGTATGACAGTTATATTATACATTAATAATTAAATTATATCTCACTTTGGCATCGAAGGCTGGCACCATGGAGCTGGGGTGCTCCGACATAAGAGATATCAGCATTTGTAAAACGTCATGCAGATTTTCATCCTGAAACAAAAATAAATTTGAAGTAAAAAAGAAAATATGTTTATTCCACATACAGAAGCAATAATAAAAAAAAACAAAAATAAAAAAGATTATTAAACACAATTAGTCGGCCTCACTGATCTAGCGATTTAGGTCATTTTACTTGCGATGGTCACAAGTTCGATACTCATGAATACAAATGTTTGTGCCGTGCGAGGAATCGAACCCGCGACTATCGGGCGTAAAGCGGTGCGCTAGACCGCTAGACCACCGAGGTCGTCATTGAAGAGAATGAGGAGATGTACCAATAATATAAAATACTAGTATCAATATGAAAATAAAAACTAGTGCACACGTTTTAAAAACGGTATATAGTAAATGTTGTGAACAAATGAAAATATACCTCATGCATAGTAGTCAGATAGTTGAGTAATGATTGCAGCTCGTCCTCCTTTACGCCGTTCCCGATCATGATCAACTGCTTCAAGAACAGTAAGATGTACGCCCGGATCGTGAGGATATCCTTGTGTGCGGGTCGCGGTCCTTCTGTAAATAAAAAAAAATATATTCACCATAACTTTATTGGCTACGGTAACCATTTACCATCAGATGGGCCGTATGCTTGTTTGCCATAGCAGTATAAAAAATAATTAAATTTAGAATAAAAAATCATTGATTTATGTAGGACATTTTAACCGCTTATGAACGTCAAGTTTTTTGTATTAATATTTTTCCCCTACCGTCCAGTTCAGTATACAAATTCAATTGAGAACTGGCTAGAAACTAAACTGAATATCTTTTATTAATCCTGTTTATTTACATTGCATGCTTATATAGATATCTATGTTTAACATTAAACGAAAATCTCGTACATGAACAACTGCCATGCACGTTTGTCATTTAAGCAATCCCAAATATAGAAAATGATATTCCTGTATAGCCACGAATAACTCGGTTGCAGAGAACAAATAATTCAAGAGATAATGACGGTAGTATCATAAGATCTCAGTTTGCATTTGACAGAGATAAATTCGGGGCCGGAGCGCGGTGGAACCAATTTAAACGACGGTAATGACAATACCGTCGTTTAGCGGGTAATATCGCTACTGGCTGGCTACAAATCATTCGACAATTAGTTACAGCGTTTTTATTACTAAGTAAATTTGACTTTTTCTTGTAATTTCATCTTTATGTAAATTAGGGTAATTATTATCTATGGACTGATGTTCATAATAATGTTTATGGTATTTAAGTTTAGGTTATATAAAACTAGCTAATCACCCCGGCATTGTACATGTATTATACATATGAATCTTCCTCTTGAATCACTCTATCTATAAAAAAAAAACCGCTTCAAAAGCCGTTGCGTAGTTTTAAAGATTTAAGCATTAGGAACGGACAGACAGCGACAGCTACTTTGTTTTATACTTTAATAATAATGATGTTGATTCGCTTATATAGTACATAGTTGTATGTAGTAAAGTAAATAGACTATAGTTTAAATATATCAAAATGTCTGACAGTTACATTTACGCGGAAACATAACCCATTTCGTTGTGTATGGTAGAGTACAATAATTTCGGGTAGAAATCATAATTAATTAAAATTACAAGTTCGAATATTATTAGTTGGTGTATTTTTTTATTGATTTAATATAATTTTTATGTATAATTTTAAAACAATATTACTTTTTGCACTCTTTCTTTGTAAAAACTATAAGTGTACAAAAATTTATACTACTCCGTTCGCGCAATTTTCGTGAAAATGAGTACAAAGTTTTGGCTTCACGAATTAATATAATGATAATATTAACTACCTCATTATAATAAATACCTTAGCTTCTAGTAAATCTTTTTCTAACATCCATGATTCATACTTGCCTGGTGTTAATAATAAATTAACAGGTCTTACCTAGTCCTTTGGGCGTGATTCCACTTTTAGTCCTGGGATTGGCAACCCAATAGTAGAATTTCAAAGTGTGCACCGTCTGCAGGACTGTGCTGACTCTCCTCACGCTGCCGTATATGTGGGCGTCTGCGAGGAAATCTGTCGCCAAGTAGCAGTAGAGTCTGGCCTGCACGGCCGCCGGCGTGTGTATCCACAGAGCAGGATTGAACAGTATGTGGTCCAGCAGCTGCCAGGTGAGGAAAGATTGGCAGAAGGACTGCGATTAGCATAGACTTTTTACTGTCCGATGGTTGATAGCGTAGTGCTCTCTTGCTTGTGGGAGGTTCTGCTGTGTCTTCATTAGTCTCTTATAATCTAGATTCGGCTAATTTTATTACTTTTACTGCAAAAGTGTAGGTATTGCGTTCTAAAGTTGACATTGAACAATCTTTTTAATTAATTTTAAGCATTGTGGCATTTGATCTAATTACTATCTCATCAGAGACTTAATAATTTTTAAATACTTATTATTTAACGCTCTAAAAAATACACATTTTTAATATTTACAGATTTTTCTGTACAAGAATAACTTATATTTAAGTAGTAAATCTCAATTATGATATAAATGACGAAATAGCCCCAAATATTGTGGTGGCTAAGCATAAAGCACTAAGGTGTAAAGAAGCTAGTGTAGACTTTAAAATATATGTTCACTTTATACCAATTCCATTGCGTGTACTAAAATTGTGCAATATAATTATGACTCCTTTGGACCTAATGAACTAAACTGCATGTGAAGAAATCTATTGTTTAAATTCCTTAAGCACGGGTCACCATATAACTGCAGTGATATCTCCGTAACAATAGTCAAGTTTCACTGCGAAATATGATGCCGTTGAATTAAAAATTATTATAGTACCTACTAATATTTCGAGAAACTTTGACTATCGGTAGGAGTTTGGAATTCTTCGTGAAAATTCATTATTCATAATCAAAGGGCGTGTAAAGTGTAAAGGTAGGCTACTCTGAAATTCAGTTCAAATCACAAATTTCACCTTCAAGTCAATAAAAGCAATCATTTTAAAATAGCTTTTATCTAAACAGTTTTAAAGTATGTACTCGGTTAAGTAATTGAAGGTACGAACATTTGTGAATTAAAAACTTAGTGGGATATAAACAAACTTATTCAGCATCAAAATAAAAGGATACTTGCAAAGAATAATTTTTATCATTAAATTAAAATTAAATATCAAATATCCGATGATCACAATAGTTGTGATTATTTGACATTAAAGATATAAAGAAACAAGGAACATAAAGATTAGATGGCAACGATCAGGGTATTGCTGTTTTGAAGTGTGTTTATATAATAATAGTAATTATAGTGCAGAACAGTTTTGTATAAGAACAAACAGACGAGGTGGAAGCAAGAGGAGCATGCGCTAACAACCATCGAACGAAACTTGACGATATAGGTGGGTAGGTACACGGTACATGTATCAATTCAGTTGACGTGCGAATATCTATCGTCCTTCTTCTCGATTCAATGCATATAATCGTATAGGCTTAGATAATAGTGAAGGTTTTGCAATAGCAATATATATATAAGGTGTTGATAATAACTGTGATCTTTTATATATTACCAAGCAATATAATCAAGAAGAAGCAAGACATGAACACAAAGGACGAGGACTAGAAATAGTAAGTACAAATTTTCCAGAGTATTGGATATTGATGGGATTAGGAACCATTTCGATACTGATCATATTATGCCAATAACTACAATACCCATCCTACCAGATATGAAATGGCTCCTAAATAGGTACACAAGTTTAAAATAAACGTGTAATATAAAATAGATAGCATTAAAATCCCTATACCAGATAAGATAACTAAAAAATAAAATAAATATAGTCTAAAGTTGGAGAAAATGAAATTAACTAACGACCAACACCCGCATATGAGACTTAATTTTAATACATGAAATAATAATGAGTTTGATAAACTATCACATAAAGTAGAAATCTCCATATAATATAAGATATAAAATAGTGCATTAAATGTTCTGATATTTTATGCAACAAAATGTTTTATTAATTTTCACATATTGCGCGCCCCCATAAGCAAATTTATTGTTCAGAAAGCGTGTATTCGTTACGATAAAATTTATTAACTTCTTTAAACTATTCCTGTACGCTGCCGCCTCACAGCTGGGGAAAGAAAAATCTAAATAAACATGAAATAAGACCTCACACTGCTACCTCGTAATAAATTTCTGTAGAATAGCAATTTCCTTCGTTATTTATGGCATGTAATACCTTTCTTGCTCACTTTAAAATCTCGTAATTATGGAAATATCCATGATTTAACATTAATATCACGTTGTAGTTGGAAGATAAAAAAGTAATTTATAGGCACAAAATTAAATTCACTCAACTGTATAGAGATATTATGTACAAATATTAATTAAGATGTCTACATAATCGCATCTTTTGTACGGACGATAATAATTTTAGAAGGAATATAAATTACAAGGAAATCTGATCTGGATAAAGCGTCTTGTCTTGCTATGTGTAAAATAGACAAAAAAAAAATGATATTGAAGTTTAAAGTGTTATTGAGAGTAAAGACATACCTGTTTGAGTAACAAATCGGAATTGGGAGAACAGCATGTTACTAGATGTTTCGTCAAATGGAGAAATGACGCTAACGTGTCCGGAGTGAGGTGATCCCGGCTGCATCGCTGCAGCATGTACGAAATTACCAGAAAACCACGACACTGCAGCATGTGTTGCTGTACTGTGCTGCATGACTCTACTAAAGAGCAGACGAAGCCGAGTAGTTTGGAGCTAGAAGAAATAATGGTAAGATTACTAACGTTAACAATGATGATATATGGTCAAATATAAACATAGAGAATCATACTAAACATATATACATAACACTATATTCTAAACGAGTATATGATAAAGAATTTTGAATCAAGATTATAAAATCCAATTTTGAACTATCTAGTTTAGTTATTAAATTTATAACGTTCGATACAATGTTTTTAATAGACTGGAAGGTTCTAATATTGGAGCTACAGATTTATTCTTCTGGAACAAAATATTTATGAATATTTATATCCGGAAGTAATTTAATATTACATTATGAACTGTATTGTTAGCCGAGGTTGACGAATCGTAAAAATGCGGAGATTATCCACAAATTAAATTCGAGACTGGAATATACCGGACATTATATTGGGATGGTATTTCTGGTTCGGATTACAAAATATTGGCAAGTTTATTTATTTATTTCAATATTAGTATAGATTAATTTATATTTCGTAATTTAATTTATTACTTTACTATTATTATAAAGCTGAAGAGTTTGTTAGTTAGAACGCGCTAATCTCAGGTACTACTAGTTCGAATTGAAAAATTCGTTTTGTGTTGGATAGTCCATTTTTCGAGGAACGCTTTAAGCTATATAACATTACGCTATGAGTAATAGGAGCTGCAATGAAAAATTTTACAAAAGGTGGGGAAATGAAACGCAGACGAGGTTGCGCGGGTCAGCTAATATGTGTTATAAACAGTAAGTTAGTAATCAAAAACTACTAGACAAATTAGAACGAAATAAGAACCTAATCTACCACAAAATACCCTCAATACCCAATGTTGGAGACAAGACATAATAATATTTTTGTCAGATTGCACAGTGTTCAAGACAATTTGAACCTAAAATAAATATAAATATTTTGTAGTATATATTTTCGTTTTGTAATGGCAACACTTAACAGTTTAAAAAAGATTCATTCAAACTGTCACTCCTCCCTTTCTGTTTCTAACTATCAAGCCATACACACTGTACTCCTGTAAATCAAAAATAAAAATACAGTCCAAATATATTAAAAGCATATGTTGTATTATTAATCCAACACACAGGATTGCAGACGTAATGAAATTTCAATGTTAAACCACAAATTGCCTTAGCATAAAAGGAACATATTTCCCAACTGTGTCAATCTTAGACGTGTCTCGTTTCAAGGATATAACAATACAATGATCTTGAAATCGGTGTAGTGACTTCCCAAATCACGTTTCAGTTGTAAGTCGGGCGGCGGGTGCGGTGTCTCATTAAGTGACATCAGAACATATTCGTGTGCATAAATTTAATCCCACATCACCTTTGATGTGAGTCGGTATTAAACCAGATTTATCCGAGTGTGACATGGGTCGACGACGCGAACTCTTTGAACTGTCACCGACGACTAATCGTGGCAGATATTTGTGTTATATATACATTTATATCTATTACTATCTCATAATTTATGTTACTATAAATATTAGAACTAGAAACTCTTTAAGATAGATAGATAAACTAAGTATAATATACTCATTGTGCATAAATGATACTGTTATTGTGATAAAAAGGTAGATTACTATTTGTAGAACATAAATTATATAGTTCACTAGATTTACCTTCATAAATATTAATTTAATGTTCTGAATGATAATTTAATAACGGACTCATCCGGTGTCTCTGTGGATTATAAATGTGCCCCGCAAAATGTCGCCAATAACTCTACTTCGGTTAAACGGAGTCGACACTAGGCAATTAGGAGTTGCGAGGAGTTACTTCATAGCTCCTATTACTCACCCACTTTCGGATGGACGCAGAGTTTCAAGGGAGATTTCGAGTCGACAGTGAAAGTGCATTTAGCCGGCTAATGCGACTGAAGCTACTTAGAATATTGATGAACGGATTTGAGACTGGATTAGCAAATTTGAATTCCAACATCGGATTAATATAGCGTTGAAATTCCATTTAAACTTAGATCCTAGTCTGGAATGTCAAATAATATGGAAACTGTCCGCTAAATTAGAAACAGCGATAAAGTTTTGTTTATGTAAATTGCACACATCCTTTGTAATCTTCGTATATAGTTAGGCCCTATTTTAGTCATCAGTATAGTCACAATTGAGTTACCAATAAGATTTAAAATTATTATAATTAAAAAACCTTATTGTAGATATTAACATTATGGCCTAATAATATCATCATTCCAGACTTGTAAGTTAGATAGACAGATAGAAAATACTTTATTTGTACCATACAGTCAAAATATATAAACAATATATAATATATTAAAGTTAGTTATATGATTTCTATGTTCTAACATCTGTATTTTAGTGATTTTAAGACGGTGAATTACTGTAAGAACTTCTAAAAACAAATGAAGCACATTAATAAAAAGATAAGTTCTTATCTAAAGTCGCATTTTTACAAACCAATATAGCAAAGCGACATATGAGAATTGCAGTAAAAGGTTTTTGAATATTATCTGAAATGCCAAAAAAATCCTTAATACAATAAAAATATTATTATTTTATATAACTAAATAACTTAATTGTACAACTAAGAACCTAAAATTAAAAAGCTTAAAAAATATAATATAATGACTAAAATATATTATTAAAAGGGGTCCCTTTAGGCAAAGTTCCGAAGATACTGGCAGCGTTCTCTCTTTGAATAGCTAGACTAATTCTTTGTCCAAGGTAGCTGCCAGCTCTTCGGTCTTCTGTGATGTCGACTAACCTTTTCGTTATTTCTTTGAAAAGTCTTATAGCGCTAGGACCATGGACCAAGGGTCGAGACCCTTGGTCCAGCGTCCTAGCGCGGTGTCGAGACACCGAATGGGACAAAATCATATTCGGAGCCTAGACCCCTATGCTTTGCCTTTTCAGCCACTTCACTTCTTTATGAATATTATTTCAATCTTACCAAAGCATCGGATCCCGTTTAGAATCTGAAGCTGGCGCGTCATGTGGCAGATCTAGTTGAGCGAAGAGCGGGAACAGAACCTGCACTCCGCCGATAGAATTTAACGCACTATGTATTGAATGTGTTATGACTGCTTTCACCTCCTGAAAAGGTTAAAAGATACATAGACTCTATTTAAAGAGTGTAGCAATTTCGTGGCTGACTCATTCCATATTTTACAATAGACAAGAGTGTCCGAACATCTGTCAGTTTGTTATGACTAAAATGAAATTTGAAATTTAAGTCCGCTGTATATCTACGTAAAATCTTATACAGTATATATATATATTTTTAATAGCATATGCTGGTGATCACTCTGTTCTCGTAAATTTGAATTTAAATGAATCTGTATTATTGTAAATAGGTACAACATTAAAAAAAACACGAGCTGAGTTTCTTGTCAGTTCTTCTCATCTCGAAATCATTCCGAACTGACGGTAGATTTGACATATCATTAGAGTCTGTAATAGACCTACATGAATAAAGATATTTTGAATTTGAATTTCAATATAATAGTGTATTTACAGTCAATAATTTTTTAAGCATTTTTTTAAAATATAATATTTTTTTTCTTATTATTTTATTCTTTCGTGGATTTGTCCTAAACATTTCTATTTTGAGTTCTGAGAGCACCAGTTGATTATTTAGTCCATTTACTTTTTTTTTCACTAATAACGTCCGTTTAGCAGGATCACATCGCTCCCACGAGTACCAGGATCGCATAGTCTACAAGGCGTAATTACCTGGAGCATCAACGCATGGGGTGTGTGCACGAAATACGAGACATTCCCCTTAGGCGCCGACTGCAGGCACAGCTGTCCGTCTGTCGCGACCGGGTTATACATGAACACTATAGCGGAGGACAGCTTGCCGTCGTATAGCACCTGCACGCAAATAATAATAATAATATAATAATAATCTCAGGACAATTCACACAGCGCCATCTAGACCCAAGTTAAGCTAGCTAAAGCTTGTGTTATGGGTACTAGATAACTGATACAAATATATAATATTAAGTGATACATAGATTTTTTTTCGTAAATACATACATATTATATATAGAAAACACCCAGACCGATACAAACAATCATACTCATGAATACAAATGTTTGTGCCGTGCGAGGAATCGAACCCGCGACCATCGGTCGTAAAGCGGTGTACTAGACCGCTGGACCACTGAGGTCGTCTAAATAAATCATTCTTACCATTCCATACGCTTAAAAAAAGTGTTAAAGTAACAAATTTGCATTATTTACAATTGAAATCATTGAACAGATGTTTACAAAATTTAACAGAAATATAATTTTATAATATAAAGATCTTAAAACTATAACTATCTACGTTAAACATAAAAAAAAAACCTTAAAGCAAACATTTATTATATATGATATACCACATGCAAACAAATACACTAAACCAAAATGTCATAACATATAGGTTAATGACTACACAATATTCAATGGAACTCTGTTAGAACAATCACTTCATTACCCAATACTATCAAAGTACCTGTGATTTAAAATGGAATAATAATGTAAGACAATTTTTAACACACTTACTCGTAAAGTTGATTGAAATTTCACCGGTTCTAGATAAAGCATGTAATAAAACACGCGAGCGTTGTAAACGCAAATAGTGTATTTATATTCCAAAACGCACTATTTACTATTGTTATTTTCAAACTAGCTGTTCCCGCGACTTCGTCCGCGTGGAATTTAACTTTATGTTTCTAAAATGTTTTCTTTTTAAATAAAAGTAGCCTAAGTTCCTTCCTTATTACATCAACTATCAGTCAAAAAAAGTCCCGTCAAAATCGGTCCAGCCATTTCAGAGATTAGCCGGAACAGACAGACAGACAAGACAATTTATATTCATATGGATGTAGTAAAAAACGTTTATTTCAATATTACAAACAGACACTCCAATTTTATTTATATGTACCTATAGAGGTATAGATTTCGATATACGAGAGATACCGACCGCCGTGCGGCGACAGCCAGTAGGCAACTTGCCGCATTCCAGCCGTTTTATTAAAAAAAAAAAACGGCGGGAAACTGAACAATTTGAACAACATGCTTTTTATTCTATTTTCTTCGCAAGTGTGTTGAAAAACGTCGTACGTTATACGTATTTAACACACTCGGCTTTATTACGCCCTCGCCTTGGAGCTCGGTCTGAAATTCCGCCGCGTGTGTTATAACAATAAACATCATAACGCACTTATATCGTAATATACTAAATCGTATCGATAGAAGTAAAAAGTTAAACATTAAAAAATTTCGAACACATTTTGAACGAAATTTCTATTTTTATTTTCAAATTTCGAACTGACCGCCGCTATTTTTTCCCGCCGTTTTATTAAAAAAAACAGCGGGATACTGCCAAATTGAACAACATGGTTTTTAGTCTATTTTCCTCGCAAGTGTGTTAAAAACGACGTACGTTATACGTATTTAACACGCTCGGCTTTATTACGCCCTCGCCTTGGAGCTCGGTCTGAATTTCCGCCGCGTGTGTTAACCATCATAACGCACTTATATCGTAATATACTAAAACGTATCGAGAAGTAAAAAGTTAAATATTACAAAATTTAGAACACTTTTCGAAAGAAAATTCTATTTTTATTTTCGAATTTCGAACTGACCGCCGCGCGCCGTGGTTCCAGCCAGTATGTACAGAGCCGAATTCCCGCTGCTTTATAAAAAAATAAACTTCGGGAAACTGCCAAATTGAACAACATGGTTTTTAGTCTATTTTCCTCGCAAGTGTGTTAAAAACGTCGTACGTTATACGTATTTAACACACTCGGCTTTATTACGCCCTCGCCTTGGAGCTCGGTCTGAAATTCCACCGCGTGTGTTATAACAATAAACATCATAACGCACTTATATCGTAATATACTAAATCGTATCGATAGAAGTAAAAAGTTAAACATTAAAAAATTTCGAACACATTTTGAACGAAATTTCTATTTTTATTTTCAAATTTCGAACTGACCGCCGCGGTGCCAGCCAGTATGTACCGAGCAGTTTTCCCGCCGTTTTATTAAAAAAACAGCGGGATACTGCCAAATTGAACAACATGCTTTTTATTCTATTTTCCTCGCAAGTGTGTTAAAAACGTCGTGCGTTATACGTATTTAACACGCTTGGCTTTATTACGCCCTCGCCTTGGAGCTCGGTCTGAATTTCCGCCGCGTGTGTTAACCATCATAACGCACTATATCATATTATATAAAAAGGTATCAATAGAAGAAAAAAAAACATTAAAAAAAACAATTTTCACATTTTAAAGGATTATAAGATAATTTTATGGAAATACAATCAAATTCGATATTACAATAGTAGACAATTGTTTCATATTAAACACCCAAAGCGTTAAAATGTTACCCTCTTCAATCCATTTATATGCTGTAGCTTTTACAAGCGAATCATAAAAGCAAATAGCAAAATTCACCGTCGTAATGGAACCAAAATAATATTTTTTAAAACAATATTTTTTTACAAAGAATCTTGTTTCAGATGATGTATAAAAAAATTTGATCATTACAGCGATGGCATTGCATTCTATTCGACAATGATATATGTATATATGCCTGATGATTTTATTTACCGTGCGAAAATAAATCTAGTCCCAAGCAAGCTGAGCTTGTGTTATGTGAAAAGACAACTGATATTAAATAAATAATTAAATAACCTTGGACAATTAACACAGCGCCATCTAGTCCCACGGTGAGCAGAGCTTGTGTTATGGGCACTAGATAACTGATATAAATAATTAGATATATATTCTTTGTAAATACATACATAATATACATAGAAAACGCCAGACTGATACAAACAATCATATACTAGCGTTTGTACTATGCAAGGAATCGAACCCGCGACCATCCGAAGTAAAGCGGGGTACTTAACCGATAGACCATTTAGACCGTCGTTTTTACAGCGTATTTGACTAAACATTTTTGAAAGGTAAAAAAAAATCATCAGATAAATTCCCAAAATGGCGTAGAATAAAATAAACATATAGCGAGTTGATTGAGTATCACACAACATCACAACATCAACAGGAAGAAAATACAACAGCGATCACATTACTAATACGGGTTAGATGTAGATATGGTCTGGTGAGATGAAATGTAGACTCCGTGTTAGGGTTTACACAAAGCACAAATTATTTCACAATAATTTCAAAACATAACAATATAAAAACAACTTTCAGACCCAAAAATTGTTATTATATACTAACGATGAAATTGTTTATGAAAATGACTATACATTTGGTGACAATAAATTATACTACCAACCATTATTTACCTGTGATTATAGTGATTGAAACACTACCGAAATATCGGGAACTCAGCAAATAAATATAAAACGTGGTAAGATCCCGTGATTTTTACTAATTATACGTATAAATAATGATCGCGTCAAATTTAAAACAGTATATGATAATAAATTATTATTATTGTTAATGAATGCACGAGTTATGGGCCCTAGACAACTGATATAAATACTTAGATATATATTACATACATAATATACATAGAAAACACCCAGACTGATACAAATAATCATATACTAACGTTTGTACTATGCAAGGAATCGAACCCGCGACCATCCGAAGTAAAGCGGTGTATTTAACCGATAGACCATCGAGATCATCGTATATACAGTGTATATGACTGAACACAAATTATTTCACAATATTTTAAATACACTAGAAGAGCCGACAGTTGCTTTTAAATATATATATAACTAGCTGTCCAGGGAAACGTTGTTTTGCCTTAAGATAAAAAAAAAATAGGGGTGGACTACCCCTAACATTTAGGGGGATGAAAAATAGATGTTGGCCCATTCTCAGACCTACTCAATACGCTAACAAAATTTCATGAGAATCGGTAAAGCCGTTTCGGAGGAGTATGAGAACGAAAACTGTGACACGAGAACTTTATATATAAGAAGAAGTTTATGAAAAAGACTATAACCAAATGTATAGTGATTTTCATAAAACTATTTCATTCTTATACGAATATGTCAATTAATTATTATTATAGTTAGTGAATAGTCACCAAATGTCGTAAGTCCAAACATAATTGATTAACGTTTAAATAATTAATGTTTACGAATATTTTATATATTGTTGTGTATGTTATTATAATGATATAGGTAAGATATTATTTAATTTGTTGAGTATTAAATGATTAATTTTAATAGAATAGAATAGAAAATCATTTATTCAAATAAACTTACATTGAAGCACTTTTGAATAGTCATTACATTTTTTTTAATCTACCGCTAATTCGGAAAGCTGTCTCAATACAAGAAGAACGAGCAAGAAACTTGCGTGTTGCTCTTTTAAATAATTTTATTCTTACTTTACATTTTTAAGTTTAAGTGTGTAATACAAACTACCAATTAGCACTAATTCAATTAAATGATCATGATATGATTTTAACATTATACTGCTATTTGCGGTGTTGCCCACTCACTACCACCTATGTTACGCTATGTTAGATTGACTTGTAGAGATCTCTTTTAGAAATCACTCCACCTTTGTTACGCGTAATATTAAGTATGGATATAGGTGACTTTCTTTCTATCCAATTAAATTAAATCAAAAATCATTTATTTATATACGATATTTTAGCCCTTTATACACGTCAAGTATTTTGTATTAATATTTTTCTTACCATCCAGTTCAGTATACAGTTTCAATTGAGAAGACCTGGCAAGAAACTCAACCGTTTTTTTTTTTCAATTTTGTTTATTCTTTTCCGTATCTTCCAATTTAGTATATAGATTAAATTGCGAAGAACTGGCCAGAAACTCAACTGGATTACTTTTTTAAAGACAGTTTATAAAATTTATGACTTATATACGTC